GTCGTTTTTTCCATCCTCATGCAATGGGAAGAAGGAAAGCACTGAACGAAATAGTGCGAGGTGACCGTATAATTGCTGGTCGCAGCTCTTTGTGGAAACTAGTCTCTTGGTCTCAAGAGTGTTATAATCACATTAGTAAAACTCAATCTTCATCTGACCCTTTCATTACTGATTATTGAATTTAAGCACACAGATTTCAATTAGGAAAGTAATATCATTATGTTGTTATACGATTATCCCAATGAAACATTACCATAAGCCGACTAATCTCAATAGTGGACGTATTCAATGATCCTGGAGTTACCCAACGTTTACAAAAGACTGATCCGAGAATTTTGTGGAAAATGTGACTAACTTTGAGGTATTTTTGATTTAAGATCTGACCAAAAAGTTATTTTGTAAGGAAACAGTTGTTCTCTTCACTGAAAATATATTTTCTTGGCGAGGACGTTACTCGTTCCTTGTCGCGGTCCACAACTTGTAAGTTCCCACAACTCTAATGGAAAGCACCATGTCTGTATAATATAATTTTAAAGTCAGAGTGACACAAATATGATTTTTTGGGAAAACAAAAGGTTATTTGAAAAAATCCTTCTTTCAGTAATAACATCCTCAATGTCAGTGTAAAGGAAATCGCTATAATTCCACTTTTTGGCTTTATGAATTTATCATTCAACTTGCTTGATTATTCACGAAATAAAACCTCATCAAAACCTTATTGGTCTGGTGATTTTTCTGAACCATTTATGGATTCTCTTCATTAAACATATGATGTCTTCCATCTAAACTGACAAAATAGCGTTCAATATGGCCAATAAAATGGACATAACACTCATTTTTATGTCATGTCAGTGTGATATACGATAGTTATTCAATGATCCAATTAGACATTATTGCAGAATTCTTATGAGTTCTTTAAAAAACCCGATATGACTTATTTCTTTTACAAGCGCAGTTATGTCTGATTTTGATTTAGTATAATTTCTTGTATCGTAAATAATTGAAAACTATTCAATTCTCTTGTTACAAATGTTGCAAGGTGCGCGTAGATCTTAGTTGACTTGCTGTTGAAGACAAGACTGATTAAAGTACGATTCATTCTCAAAACTCAACTAGGTATTTCCAAAATATTGATACTATAATATTGATATAATTGGACCAAAAGACCACGTGCAGTATGGCACTTGTGATTTTAGACAGTCATATCTTTCTGGGCATAAATACAGTGTTTTTTTTATTAAAACAAGATGTTTTCTTTCAAGTGAAGTACCCATGATGATAAAAATATCAATCGAACAATTTGAAAAATCATGAATAGGGACATTTCACATTTTTTTCAAAATATTGAACCTATTTACTTAAAAGAGGATCTGCTTTTTCTAATCTTTATTGCATGAAAAGATTATTCAACAAGGGGTCTAAAACATCTTCAAAAATATAATGGTATTGAAAGTCTAGTTTTGAAGATATCAATTTTCGATGACCAAAATGGTGCTGAAAACAATGGTTAGCACGAGTTTTCCCTATGGAAAAATAACATGGGATATGTGGTTTTTAACTTTAACGCATTTCAATACGCATCCCCTTTTCAGAAATCGTTAATATAGTGTAGAAGAAACTTTCGATACGTTTAAATTGAGAAAAACAAGATCCTCTTTTTAGAAAATAAGCCTAATATTTTTTTTAAAGTGCAAAGGTGGGGCCCTAATCCATGATTTTTCAGAGAGTTGGATTTATAGTTTACTATCATGGGGACTTCACTTGAAAGAAAACATATTGTTTTAATAAAAACCATTGTATTTATGGCCAGAAAGTACTCATGGTGAAAGATATGACTGCCTAAAATCACTTGCCATACTGCACATGGACCTTTTAATAAATCGAATTCGGTTTCTCCATCCCTATCGATATATCGGTATCTAGGTCCATCCCTGTGACGCTACGGACCATGTAAGACTATTTAGTGATTCCCTAGATGCATAAATGGATGGAAATATATTCATGTCAGCAACCGAATCATCAATCCAGCAAACATCTATCAATGTATTAGATGTGCTAATATATTTACTCATTCCGCTGATTATTGCTGAGCTCACAAAGTTTACATTGAAGGACCACGAGAATAGAAAAGACGAAGAACGCCTTATATATCTCACCTTAGACCAAATTAGATATCACACACAAATCCAAACCACCCCGTCGATTCCATGAAAGCCTTAAATAATATCGTGTATCGAAGACTTACATCTGAAACCGGAAAATTTAGTAATTACCAAATAATTAGTAAACAATACATAATAGATAAATACATGTTATCATTATTTAGGTACATTTTGTGTCCTAGCCTCTTCGATTCTCGACTCGTACATGATATTAAAATAAAAAAAATTACATACAAATTAAGCAAACAGGATAATAGAATGGTATATTATTCTTCGGAATTTCGATTTGATTTCCTAGCTAATACAATATACCTCATCTTCGCACGCTCGGTCTTCACTGCGACGGGAGCCGAGTGAACGAATATGATATACCTGGACCCACACTACATGTGGTTTAAACCCCACAAAACGATTAATAGCCCACGGTAAACAGAACAAGTTACAACATATAGACAACTAACAAGATGCATGCATACACTCCCCTCCAAAGTTTGGCAAAAACAATTTTCCTATTGGGATAATGTATTAAAACATATAAAAATGAATTGCATACGATGCAATAGAATACTTGTATGGCATCAATTCAAATGGCCTTGTCGCATTGCATCACTGTCCACCAGAACATATCAACCAACAACATCGAAAATCAATTAGGATATCCAAGGGGAAATCGAGCTCTTCAGGTGTATCACAATACAATATATACAACCAACTGGGGTCACAATAGATTTCCGTTCAATTTAAATATTCAGGTTTGTCCTTCATATATGTATCAATATTCAAAGACATGTTGAATGAGTGGGGGATGGGGTAGGTAATAGTTATATAGCTATTTCTCGCTCATTTAGAAACAGTTTGTAAACATGCATAACATATAGCTCGACTTACCAAGCTACTAACCAAGTAGAAATATTATTTTCATTAAGGTTATCATTGTTTTGAAGAACGTGAACGTAGAACATGTACAATAATGGCCCCTGAACCGAGAGTATTTTTCCTTCGTATCTATGTCCGATCAGCTCTGGTCCGATTGATTATAAAGCTACAAATAGCTGTTGGTCCCCCGTGTAAACCATTTGAGAGGGGGACAATTATTCCTGGTGGTCATAATATTGTAAATACATCCATGTTCTTTCCAAATAACGCAACTTCTCTATCCGATTCCAGTATATAATATAGCAGAACGTAAGTTTACCAGATCCATCTCTACAGGCAATCACTGTTGATGGATCACGATCATTTAGCTAATAAACAATATCAATAAACACAACATGAATTAAATATTCACTTATAATTTGAGTTATAACATAAAAACTTACCATTTCCAAGATCTGTGCATTGAAATGGTGTGAAGACTGAATTTATTCCAGTTATCTGAAATTCTTACTGTTATTAGTAAGAACATGTAAATGTCAAAGTGTCTGTCTAACCAGCTGGGGGTGTACCATAGAATTGTTACAATCGGAAACATGAACATTAGCTTTGAGGAATGGTAGTATTAATAGCATACAATTCGATGCATGGGTAAGAATTCGATTTTGTGCTTGACACAAAAAATACAACCAAATTTTTAATGATAAAACGTGTAATTGAATTTTTTAACATGTATATTATTAAAAATATGAGATATAAGTAATTGATATTATAGGTTAATATTACGACAGAATTATGTTTTACACATAACTGTTGAATGGTTAAAACTGCTTCAAAATGGTCAATGGAAGTTTGAAATGATTTTTCTGCTCTAAAATTGCCCCGTTTGTCATATGGTAGGGTTTAAACTTATATCTGTCACTGAAAGCTATTTTAAGATCATCCAATGTGTTTCAACAATTTCGGGAATCACATTGGTAAAAATTTGCACAATATCTAATTAAAGGCATGTTTCTTTAAGTCTTGTCATTTCTTCAAAATTCAAGACTGAGAATAAATCATGGAACGAACAAAGATTTTAGACTTTTCTCAACAAGATGTTGCAGGGGTTCACTTTTTGGACCACCCTGTAAATATGGTACTAGATGAGTCTGCTCACATTAGCAGCAGGTGACATCTATAATTAGTGCAAAACGTGAATAGTATTGTATAATTTTTTTCAACTTTTCAGTCATTTACATGTATACTCCCCGTAGCACAGGTTTGAGGAAAAACCGTCATTGGATCACAACATGACTGTTGAAGTCATGAAATACCTGAAAAATAAAATCCAAGATGGCTGCTTAAATCTAAATGCCATTTTTCTGGGGGGGGGGTATGATTTGATAGGGGACATGGTACGATTGGAGGTTACTTCCCCTCTTAATTAATGAAATAGAAGTTCATCTTTACATAGGTTCATAGTACGATGAAGGTTACTCCCCGTTCTTGATACAACATTGATCATCTAGAAACCTGGGGATCCTAACAATGACATAATAATTGTAGATATAATCTATGAAGTTACAAATTGCATTTGAATATAAGTAGACGGTCAATCCGAGTGCACAGTGTAGTCGACGCAAGAATATTAATGCGCCATGAACAATGAACTTGCACGCTCCAGGAAAACTTTCCTCTGGGAACATTTGGGAGATATCATTGCATTCCCAAAATGACTAGTTGTAGATCTGTCTCATTTCTTAATTTCGAATACTAGTCATGTTATTTTACATAATGTTACGTACCAGAGATGGTTTATTGAACATATGACTTCCGGATACTATCTATCTAAATGACTTAATGACTGAAATAGAGCTAACTGATATAGAAACTGAAACACATAATGATAATGATTGGTCATGAGGTTTGTTGTTTTTTACATTCACATTGAGAGTATGTGGACAAACAAATACTGTAGAAGGGGGATAATGTAACGTTATCATTTTATGCGTATAAATGATGATGTTACATTATCCTCCTTCTACAGAATAAGGATTATTATGTCGGAGGGCAATTAGCATATAGTACAAGTGTGCATTCACCAATCAGAGGCTGGAGGCAGGTATGTTAGTAATGATACATACATCGGGATCTTTATAGTTAACTTAACACAAGCGCATTAAATACCAATATCTAATAGTTGCTTACAATCGGTACAATCAGGTAGACGACCACTCCTGTATACATTGATCACACTGAGCAATGCAAACATTCCTCTCTGCTTAGCTGGAGATATATCAAATATCTAGTAATTTATTAACGCGGCATGGTAATATCGAATTAGATGACAGAACGCAAATGGATATATACTATTTCACAAAAGCAGGGAAATGTAATTTAGTATAATAACAAATGAAATAAACAATCTGGGTATACATGATGTATATTTGTATTATATAAGGATGGTATAGTAATGGATATATTGAACACCTGCGTCGCAGTCATGGAGATAGTCGACAGCAAATGGAAGATGACGGAGAAATAAGGTATGTTTATAGTTATATATGATGCGTATATCATCTTTTATGTAATTTCACAAGAATTGAATATCATTTTTACTCGAAGACACATCGAAATAGGACATTTCATACAAGTTAGTTCAGATCTCTTGGTATATACAATGCAAACAATCATTAAAAGCATCAGAAGATCTCTTCTCATCATTTTCTTGCAACGGGGCATTCTTCGATTGACAAAGATGCCACATACACGAAAGAAATCTGTGAAAAATAAAGTGAATGCTTTGAAGCTCTTTGGAATAAGACTAAATACGTAATACGTTCCGCCATTACGTTGCATGTATTTTCTACTTTGTTCCTAATCACATTGGATCGAATAACCATTTTTCTGAAAAGCAATTAACTAACAGCAATAATATAAATGATACGCACGTATATATCAGACGCAATTAACATTTTTCATAGAATTAGCTTCTTCTTCAGAGAATCAATTGAATTTCATTAGTTTCCCTAGAATGCCTTGACAGGACAAACATTAAAATAATCGTCGACATTTCTTATTTTATTATGGTAGATATATATTATGTTATTCAAATGTATCAATAAGGTTGATTTAACAGCTTGATTGTTGTTCAAATCGATATCAATGTCACTGCTGCTTTATATCGAAGGTGTTCGGCTCTAATCACATGGATTTAGTAATAACTGACTCATATGATACTTATGGCATTTTACTGTACAGTATAATTCGCACAACGTTTTGGGTTATACTGGTTTCTTTTTCATTATATAGTGATTATATAATTAGTTTCCCGTGCCAAGGGCCGTCACAATCATTATTCTGTTATTCATACGCAATCCTAAAATATCATTTCTGTATTGTAGTTTAATGTAGTTTGATAATGAAAACCCAATGGTAGTTACCTGGTAACGTATTTGGGGCAAACACAAAATGTGAACAAACAACAATTTGAAAAAACAAAGGCTGTACGGTCGCAAAATACACGAGGCCTTCATTCAAATGTCTTGTCACCCTACTGGTAAATCCCCTCACTGGGCTCTAGTTAAATAGACTAACTGGTTTAATTCGTAGATTACTCCCTCAACCATGGATCAACCATTGTATTGCATTTTCTGACAAGTACCTACTCTATTAGGTTATTGATAATTGAATCCATCGTATCAAAATCATTGGTATATTGGTCTTAATGACAGAAAACATTGATTAAGGATCAAATGAACAAAATGTGTATTTATTTGGTTACAGAGTATCTGTTTTGCTCAACGAATTCGAATACTTAAAGCGATTCAATGTCCATTATTATCAATAATCTTATGATAACTAAGTGAATTGAACTCCGAGCCGTAGCCAGCTTTTGCCAAAGGGGATCACATTTGACAACTTTGACCCAAATCACGTGCAAATTGCTAAGAATGGTGAAATACTGCATGATTTGAAAAACAACTTTGGCCAGGGGGTACCTGGCTACGGGCCTGGAGATGATATCCGGGTTGTCAAAGCCTAAGACAGGATGAAGACAAGGCTCACTTATAAAGAGGCAATATTATACTAAATTGGAAGGTGTATCCAGATTATTAAAATACGTGTTTATGATATGAGGGGATAATATTTACCTCACGTGGATTCTCATGTGTTTCCTATAATTTATTGTTCTCATTACGTTCCGTGATAATACATGTAATATTCATTGATGAACATTCGACAGAAAAAATTGTAAGTTTTTGAATTTAATAATTTTACAAACAAATACATATGCCAAATGGAGAGTACCGAAAATAGTTACAGAACACAGCAGGAAAAAGAAAACGAGTACACCAGTCATAAGAAAACGAACCCCAACTAGCCTATCCAAAATCTTAATTCAATATGAAAAGAAACGATATCTAATAACCCCTCCCCACCATTGAAGTACCAAAATCACAATCCAAGTTCACAACACCAAAGGTCATTTGAATGTAATGAAGTCATTACAATACATGTTGAAGAATACATTTTTAATTGATAACCAATACTATTAACATCAAAAATATACGTTCGAGACAGGTATTCATACAAGATAGAGCATCCAGTCTCGAATGACGTGGGACAGATAAAACCCAGCCTCAACGTCCGCAGTGGAATCAAAGGGCCAATATCCGTTCACGAAGCCGACGCCTTATTCCATTTTCAGAAGGATGTTGATTTGCATCCAAACCTCAAGTGTTAATAGTTACCCCCACTTGCTCCAATAAGGAACTAAAATGACACATAAAGGGCCTACACATTTTAAAAATGTTCGTTTTACATGTGGGTGGAGAAGGGGGATAATCATGATGTACAATGTAAATTTTAAAAATGTCCAAAAGTGAACCCCAATACTCCCTTTTTGGGCCTCACTAAGCTCGCAGTGATACAAACCCAAAAATCGCATTTCGTTAATGTTGATGAATATATGGTTGGCTTACCCGCCCAAAGAATGCACGTGTAGTTAACGGGTGTGTAGGCGTTAATAACGCTCGTGCAGGCGAAAAATTACGCCTATGTAGGCGTAAATTACGCCCGTGAAGAAGTAAATTCTACGGGCGTTCAGATAACATTTACAGGCGTGAACTTACGGCGTTAAAATGACTAATTACGGGCGTTAATTAAGACGGTTATTATACACGCGCTGAGAAACATCTTCACGCCCGTCGAGTTTATTTTTAGCGCCGTAAATTATGTACCAAGGATCTGTTGTCCTTGGATGATCCTTTTGGATAAACAACAACACGTAATATAGGCTCGTGCTAATGCCCAGATAGAACACTGATATATATGATAACTTTGATTAACAGATTGTCATCTGCGTCGGGTACCATTGTTCCTGTTACCCTATCAACTACAGCTACAGCTTAACAATACCATAGTCGGACCAGATGAAGGACACAAGTCATTTCATGCATGTATAGGATTTCAGGTATATTATTAAAATATATCCTACCTGAAATCTTATACATGCATGAAATAACGTGTGTCCTTTAAAGGGTTTTAGAGACAAATATGAGAATTTACATTCATGAGAATTATGAACCTTCAATTCATATTGCACCATAGACGGACTAATCCAGTGTTTAAGCATGAATGTGCAACTCACCCCTTTGACATGAGGAAGATGTATATGCTTCCATTAGTAAATCGATAGATATCATATGAGAAGTAGACAATATGCGTAATCTAATCGACTAGTACAAAAGATGTGCAATCTGAGAATGCAGTATTGATCTGGCAGAGGTTATACAAATGTCAATGTGTTGTAACTGGTACCCATCGGAATTTTTAATTTCATCATTTTCACCAACACAAGGATTCAGGTTCTTCCCATTATCCATCGTGTCACTAGGACGGACCGTTCTGTTAACCCCGAAATAGTGCTCAAGACGTTCTCGAAAATGGACTTAAACTGTGTACCTTCCTAGTCTATAGTAGGCCATCTCGTTTGAAGTAAGTTTTTGCAGTTTTGAAGAACGCAGTGGCAACTAATTTGGTGCTATAGCTATATTTTAGCTAACTCGTTCATAAGCAGTCCTTAATACGTCCTCAATCAGTTAAAACCAGTTTGCAATTAGTTCTACCCCGTTCTCAATACGTTCCAAGACAGTTCAAATCGTTCTAAAAACGTCCCCATCACTGCAGTACGACAGTTACGGTCATAGTACGTCCACCTCGTCTAAACTTCGTTGTCACTCGTTCTGATTGCAGAATGTGGCGACCACCAGAAAATTTGGAGAATGCTCTAACCCTACTATCACACCAAACTAGTTCTCACTGCGTTCTCGAAAACGGGCTTCAACTGTATACGAACGGACTGGACCTACTAAGAACCGTTTGGGATCTATTTACAAACTTCATCGAACGTACTCGAACGGGTAGGTCCTCTAGAACTTAGACAATGCTCAAAATGTTCTCGTGGTCGTCACGTTCTACAATTAGAACGAGTGACAACGTACTAACGACGAGCTGGACGTACTACGAACGGAACCGTCGTACTTCAATCCTACCAGGGACGTTTTAACAACGAGTTGAACTGTCTGCGGACGTGTTGAGAACGAGATAGAAATAATTGCAAACGGGTTTAAACTGATTAAGAACGTATTTAACACTGCTTATGAACGAGTTAGCAAAAATATAGCTATCACACCAAACAAGTTGCCACTGCGTTCTTCAAAACTGGTTTTAAACTGTGTGCGAACGGAATGAACGTAGCTGCAACTTTCTAAGGTCTATTTACGAACTTTATGAACGTTCTCAGACGGGAATGTGATTTTAGAATTTTGAATCGATTCAAAATTCGATGACGACCATACCGTTCTGTAATCAGGTCATGTTGACCTTCTAGACTAAGGGACGCGTTCTACGACGTTGCACTCCGACGTGGTGCGACCTGAACGAACTGCGAACGAGATGGACGTATTGAAGACTGTTTAAGAACGAAGAAGCTAATTATTTCAGACATATTTCCCGACCACAGCCAGATTGAGCCCGTTTGACGACGTTTTCGTAGGACTGACAAGAACGGGTAAGAACTAGTTTGGTGTGATAGGGGGGTAAGTTCTGGAGGACCTAACCGTTCAAGTACTTTCATTAGGTTTGTAAATAGATCCCAAACAGATCCAAGTGCATTCAATCCGTTCTCACACAGTTTAGGCCCGTTTTTGAGAACGTATTGAGAACTAGTTTGATGTGATAATAGGGCCTGTAGTGGGGTTACCGAACTCCCATGCATAGTCTCGGAATAGAAGACAATAGACTGTCGGGGAGTATGATACGTTACCTCAAACAATTGGTATTCTATACAACACAATATGATATCGTAATTTGCAGATAACATCATTATACTCATGTACATTATTCATATTTCTTTAGTCATCATTTACAAATTTATTTTTTATAACAAATATTAATTGTGTCTTCTTCCAGTCCTCACATATAACTAACTAAGTAGTCTTCGGAAAATTTTGCATAAGTTAACAATGTTTTGATGTCGATGTCATACGTAAGCCTCACTTCTGACAATGTATGAAAAACTAGAAATATGCAACCTAATCTTTAGAACCAACACCTTATAGCCATGAACATTAATTAATTATTGCGTGGCATCAGCCGCCATTATATATTATACATGTAGGTCTATAGCTACAGATGACACTGTGATTGGATACGTCCACATACTTTTATCCTCCTTATGGCTTTATGTCTTAAACTAGTAATAATATATTGTGTTTACATTTACCATGTCTATTACGGCTATATATAATATATATTATATTGTCAAATTAGCGATAAGTTTGATTTCTTGTTAGGGTAGTTGACTTAAGACGGATACATGTAATAGCAGTTGATTCTTCAAATGAAGGTTCGATGATCCAGATAGATCAAATTACCTGTGATGACGTCATTCGAATGAAATAAAACGTAGGCTGTGCTATACTAAACTAATAGAAATTCAGGTAACCATGGCAATCAAGTCGTTATGTGGATGCGATGAGTGTAAAGTAAACTGATTACAATTGCGTTCAAGAGCTCCATTCCGTGATCTTTGCTCATACTTTCTATGCCATGATTTGACATAACTGCCAAGGTTTTAGAATATGGCTGTTCTTTTTTGGTAAATGTTTGTTACAAATTGTTACAATAATGTCAAAACAATATAATTGAATATTTCATTCTGGTAAATTTCGTTGAAATTGTCAAAATAACATAACTGAATATCTAATTTTGGTAAAGTTTGATACGAATTGTCAAAAGTTCTAGAGGCCTGTGTTCGGAGGATGTGAGTCAGAGACGCATGGGCTTCTTGCGTTTATTCATTTGTGATAAGCATGGAGAAAACTGAATCGTAACAATAATAACTTGGTTAATTAAATCATATACAATAAGAATTCTTTTTTCTTATAGTATATCTCAGTTTATTATTTTGATGTGATAATTGCAATTTCCACTTCCTCTCTCATAAAATTATCGATGCCACTGGACCTCAGCTGAGTTATACATTTCAGAAGACATATATCGGGTGTCTCAAAAAAATGTACCCAATAGTATATCAACAGCACAGATAAACCGATCAATATTTTCAGACATTTTTTGCATGTTGCCAAAACATGAACGTTTTTTTTCCAAATACACCATTTTTATTTCAGTCTTGCCTTTTTGATGCTTTTACCTTTACCTTTTACACCAATGTAATCAATGTAACCTCATATTTCAAAGACAGCCTGTATCCTCACTGCTACATTGTTCATCACATTTGATAATAATTTTGGATTTCTCTTTGGATGTTGCCCTTAACTTGTTCTCCGTCTTTTTGCTTGGAATGAGCGTTAAAACACTCCTTCAAATAGCCACAGAGAAAGATGTTTGAGGATGATGATGGCAGAACAAACACAGAGAATCAGGTCAATTATCGGCAAATGATTCGGGAGTTACCTTCCAGATTTACACAGGCTAGCCTGGAGACCAAATGATACCCAAATGAAAACACAGTGGTCTCAAATTGATTGAGCCCCTCTACACACAACAAAGGCTACACTAGAATCCAACCAATGCAGTTTCATAAACGTCTGACCTCTCTGTATGAGGGGGCTATAAGACATTATGAGAGCCTCCCCCATATTCACCAGATTTCACGGCCCATACTTTTTTCTCTGGGGCTATTTAAAGGACCAGTTTTATGCTAAACCCAAGCTAAGAAGCATAGAACAACTGGAATCAAAACATTCCACCAGAAATATCAAATGTGACGAACAATGTTGTAATAAGGATGGCATGACGACTGTCATCGAAATATGAGGTGGTGGTATCCATGGTGGTATCCATGTGATATATCCATATAAGGCTATAGGACCATATAGGACTGTTGTCCGCCATTTTGAATATCATGTGATATAATGTAAGGTTTGTAGGACCGTGTAGGGAAAGCTAAGGGAAGCCCCTGATACCAAGTACTATGGGTAATATACCAAATTATTATGGGAGCTACTCACTTCTTCTATCATACACTTTTACGATAAACCTTGCCACCTTTTGGTATATCAAGGCAGCAATGACACATTGGCTAGATTGATGATGTCATAGGTTGTACGTTTTCAAAATAACAATTAATCCTATTTTACCTACCACCCATGCCATCATCAATCTAGCGAAAACATCCTTCGCTTCTTTGGTGTATCAAAAGATAAGATAATAGTGTTTATTGGAGAGGTATATTTGTTACTGACATCTTCTTTGATGTTGACTGTCCCCTGGCATGTCTATAATTCAACCTCTGACGTCCATTCTACAACAGGACGATGTGTGTGTGGCTTAATCACATATGATTTACCTGATGCTATTCAATTATATCCTGCTGCAGATAGAAAACATCGTATTATTGATTCTGAATACTATTATAAATCTTGTTCTATGGTGACTATTAGGATTGATCACTCTCGTCTAATCTATTTTCAGATGCTGGCTTTACTACATATACTGAGTTGGCTCTGGACTGTGTGATCAGTGGATTGAATGGACTCTGCTGACGTCAGGTCAATGACCATATTAAGTAAATATAATGATGTGGAGAATATATACATACATTAATAAACGATGGGATTATTAAGGAGTAGCCATTTTCTTTGAGGCAGTACACACAAATACAACATACTTTAAGATGTTTACAAAGCAAAAGTATCCAGCGATGTGTCATAGGGACTAATCAACGTCGAAGGGGTAAACGAGCTCAATATGTCAGGTGTGATAAACAGCACACCAGGTGATAATACTACCTTCATAATGGACACCACCACATTAATGGTCACAATTAACACTACAGAGATGAGTTTTCTTAATACGACTCAAAGACCAAATGATATTCCATGGCTTGACAAAAACACATCTTCCATTTCTGCTGTCCTCGAGACAGTTATTTTGTGTGTCATGTGGGTTTTTACAGTAATTGGAAATGTGCTAGTGTGTATCGTCATATCCAGGAGTCGGAGATTGCAGTCAACTACAAACTATTTTGTGGCCTCACTTGCATGTGGTGATTTGTGCCTTTCAGTGTGCTGTATGCCTTTCATATTAGGCCGGGTTATAAGCCAGGCATGGATATTTGGAACAGCCATGTGCAAGCTAGTCCGTTTTTTCCAATATGTGATCCCTGGAGCTAATATGTATGTGCTGGTGTGCATATGTGCGGACAGATTCTATACAATCATATACCCACTTAGTTTCAAAGTTACCCGGTCTAGAGCAAAAAAGATGGTTTTTCTCAGTTGGTCTTTCGGAGTGCTGGTTTCAATTCCTGCTCTCTATTTCTTTACAACTGTAACCGCAGGAACCACAAGCCATTGTTCGCCTTATCTCACACCTAAATGGGACTCTATATTTTACATAGTTTGTGTGGTGCTATTTCATTTAATCACCCCATCTCTAGCCCTTACAATTGGGTATACACGAGTATTCAAGCACATATGGAGGGCAGGGGTGGGCGGAAGAACATTCCAGAGAACAATGAATCCTGTGCCCAGGGCTAAAGTCAAAATGGTGAAAATGTTACTTATTGTAAATGTGGTAAATTTCTTTTTAATTTCACCATATTATTTCACTCAATTATGGTACCCCGTCGCTCAAGTAAGCAGTGTTCCCGTTTCCCTGTACATTGCAACCATTTGGACTTTGTATTCATCCGCCATGTCTAGACCAATGATCTACATGTGTTACAATTCTAATTTTCGTCGCGGATGCAGAGAAGTATTCTGTATGTCAACAATGAAGTGTTACCGTAGCAACGCCTATGCCATCACCAATGTGTCTCAGTTTGGGAAGAAGAATCACGTGGGTGTCGTTGATATTGACAACAGCTTTCAAAGACCGTGTACTCCGTCAAAAGCATTCGATAGATCTGCAATGATTGGGCGTACCCAATGGCCTCTTTCAAACTCGTCTATGCCTTCAACATATTTATGATACTTATTCAAGCAGTGTATTTCTTTTCATCAGGAGTTGATATAATACATATTATTAGTACATCAGATCAAATACTTGATTCCAGTTGGTCAAGAGGATGATTATGAAAGTTGAACTTATTTTTGTATAGCTCCGTAATGTATTTGGAGTAGGCGATCTATAAAGATCACCATCTAATAATTCTCACCTTACATGTATGGACGTGTGTACATATTTTCCTAATATGTACAATTAAACGGAATAGTATTCTATATAAATCTTGCTATACATAACTGGATGTCACGTTTATCTTTTCATACATCAGAGCTGCTTCCACATACGTCAATCATGAGCCCATGATAACATCAATGTCAAAATGAGATGAAATTGAGATTGTTTTGCTTCGTTTCCCAAGAATAACTTTGCCCTTTAAGCAACTATCTGTTAATAAGTTGTTATGTTATGAAAAACTAGATGCGAGTAGAAGTTAAGTTATCTTATGACGATAGATATTCCATCGTCGCTTTCCACTGGGTCTAGAGACCCCGTGTGGCATAAAAGGTCAATTTGTTTCTCTTCTCCCATTTATATGTGGCGGTTCATGGCCCGATGTTAGTCCACGGACCCAATCAGAACGCTCTGCTTCGTCACGTGACAAAATATCGAAAATGTCTATACGGACTGAATAAATATCGCATCGTTGATTGGCCGATTGGTTTTGAGGCGTCTCATAAAACTTTGCGGGCAACTACCAGGAGGAGGAATATTGAGAGTGAACTCAGCTGGGGTTTATTTACGCAGTGGTCGGTTAAATCGGGCAGATCTATCAAGGTGTAGATATTCAGAATTCAGTGAAAACGATGTCATACAGTGGCGGTAAAAAATTTTGGACCCCTAAAACTAAAAATTGGGCCTAAATTTTTTATGAGGCCCCAAACATTCAAAAGAAATTCTGGCTCCCCTAAAAGGAAGAGGGGCGGGCCCCATGCCTCCCCCAGGTCCGCCACTGTCATATTTGGAATCTACATGTGAAAGTACATCTAGAAACATGATTTCGAAAATTATTTATACCCCATGTTATAAAATCATTTTCTTGATAATATATTGGACGGGTGACATTTTCTTTTACTGGACATTTTTTATTTGTACAGTATGACTATCAAATACATAAGGATAATATGAAAATTGATCCGATAAAAATAATGAATATTCAAGTTGAAGGGAATTTTCTACTATATCTGCCATGTGACCTGACCAATTAGCCACCTGGTGGTGAAATTGGTAACTACCCACTTGCATTTGGGTTAAATTGCAGTAAATCATTCCAATATTGTTATTAGTTCTTTCCAAAGCTTTATTGTTTGTTGATATTTTGAAGAAATAAGAACCAAAAGATGGTTTAATTATTCATTATGTTCTTGTGGTTTCTGAGCTCGGTAAAACCAATTAAATTTCGTCTTATTACAGAAGAGCATCAAAGAAGAACAGTAAACATCACTCTACATTTTTTATGATTTTATCATTACTCTGAAAAGTAACCGATTACGAGTTACAGTTAATGTAGCAATGAACTATATTTCATTATAGGAGTTGTGCAGTGCAGGTGGATTTACATGGAGGTTGCTATAGTATTCTGTCAGCCTAGAGTATTGTTAATTAGCCATGTATTTTATAAGCCAAAGACTCAGGTGAAATTATTATTGAGCCTGATGGCTTATATGGTTGATTGATTAGTTTACTTGAGCGCTAGACAAACATTTATAAATGCTCAGAAAATAAACCCAATTTGTATAATTTCAGTAATGTGAAGCATTATTGAGCAATTATAAACACGGCATTTCAACAAATATGTACAAGATCGGGTTTACATGCCGTCCATTAAAAATGCCCTTTGTGTTATGGATTCTTCATTACGATCAACAAGATGATATATTATAGTTAAAACCGATATGTTTCAGTGTGAATACGCCAGACATTAACTCCATCACCATTAACATATTTCGGTTAACGAGACACATAGCGCTTATCAAGTTCATGACCACTTCTACTTTTTATAGTCATGATAACCAATGGCTGACCCTTTTGGAAAGCCGACAATTCTACTAATTTACCAATTTCTTTCCTCATCCACTTTGTTCTAAATTTGAGCCATTATTTAAAAATACAAGCTCTCCAGGTATAGCTCTCAAATCGGGAGGAGAAAATGTATTTCTCTGACAAGGCAAAAATATTCCTCACGTGACTGCGAAATGCACGATGGGAAATAGTTTGACCTCACAAGGAAACACAATCTTACCTCCCGCGTCGATTGTAGAACGCCTCGGCAATTCGCGATTGCTGAACCTTTTGTGACGTAAGAGGAACGTATGAATGTTAGAATCGATTGAGATTTAAAAAATAGCTAGGTGTATCGCTAGTTCCAAAAATTATCGGCTTTTGAAAAGTAAAACAGCGATCAGTCATTGGTCCATGACCACCGATAAAAAGGCGAAGTATTATTCGCATGTAACGTATTTGATTATATTTTGTATTATTCCCTCTTCTAGAGGATATGTAATTTAAGTGCAGTAAAAAGTATCCCTATATGGGATCGACAATGTAAAGATCTAAAATCATCGGCTTATGAAAAGTAAAGAAGCGGTCGGTCATTGATCCATGACCATAAAGAATGTATTATTATCTTAAACCCTTATTAAAGGATAATGTTTTATTTGTATGCATTGTATCATATTTTGTATTATTTCCTCTTCTAGAGAGAATACGTAACATAAATGCAGTGAAAATATCTAATGAGGAGACGTGTAAAGACATACTTGTTGGGTTCTCCGGGGTCATACTATACACGTTCAGGTTCTCCAGGTACATGTGACTAACCTCTCTGCTTTGTTGCCTATGTACAGAATGTACTCATAACCGATGTAAATTAGTTCGACATTGTTTTGCTCAATACTACATTACAAAACGGCGTGTATTTGTTTTGTAAGGTGCAATAAAATGATTATTTATTGTAAAATTTTGTTTATTTTTCAACTTTTATTTTGCCAACTTATTTATTATAAAAAAGCAACACGATAACGTAACACCGACCTCAAAGAAAATGCATAATGACGTAAGTGTTACTTTATCATGGTGCTTTGGTTACGTAAAACTGATACAATTTGACAAATCAACTGAAATCTTTTAACACACCATTCTAGATCTAATATTATATTTTACCGATCTTTCATATGAATAAAAGCCCACTCATACCATTTTTGGATGGAAAAATATATATCAAATGTGATTAAAATAATTTTCCAAACCCACATAGATATACATGTATCGTGATCTCAACGCTATGGAGCAGTATGTTGAAGCTACGTTTAACACCAGTGTTAATAACAACATTGAAAATGAAATTTCTCCTTTTAGCGCAGTCAGATGTCCCTTTGGTAGTTCGACTTTTTCAGGAAAGCAACAAACTTGGCACAGTTGTAGAAACATATGATCTGAATGAAAAATGATTTCGGGGCAAGTGATTCGGGGTGGTCTTCATGGATTGTAAGCCTCTGACCCCCACCCCTATCAGGCGGGGAGGGGGTACATTATAATAAAATAAATAAAAATAGTTGTAAAGTATATTTCTTTAAATGACTTCATTTGGTGATTGCTTTGAGCCTTGAAATTGAGAAAAACCTACTTTAGAAGTGGTGTTTAGGAAGGAAAATACATTTTAACCCAATTATCTAGCGTGAATTCACCTTTCAAAGGGTCAAATATGGGACATCAAGTACTGTATTTCAAGAATGTGATGTCTGATCATCCTGAAAAAATTCATACTAATAGAGATATAGGTGTTAATCACTCATATGATATATGGCTTGTATAGCTCATGTAATTTTTGAGAAATAAATTATCGAAATATGGATATTTAAGCCCTTGCGGCCTAGGGGTGACCTTATTTTACCTTAATAATTTTTAAGATACGCAATGTTTGGGCCTCATATGAATTCTGAATGTTGCATTAAGTATTGTTTTGTCATATTATTCCTAATTAAATCTAAAAAAATCATTGGAAATTTAAAAAAAATCAAATTTTCATTTTCGGTTCTAAAGGGCCAGGGGTAACCATATTTTACCCTAATAATTTCCCAGATATGTAATATATGCATCTCAAATTAGCTCAAGATGTTGCATATAGTTCTGTTTAATCATCATACCTCCAATAAGATGTAGAAAATGATCGGATATATCTAAAAAAATCAAAATTTTCACTTAAGCTCTTGATGGCCCTTATTTTACCTTAATAATTTTCTAAATATGAGACATAGTCACCTCAAATTAGCTTAAGATGGTATATTTAGTCCTGTTTTATCATATCATTCCCAAGGAGTGAAAAAATGATTGGAAATTATTAAGAAAATGACATTTTCATATTACACCCCCAATCCGCAACATCTTCTTGCAGCGCTGTAAACAGTACTGAACAGTGCAGTCAGAGTACTGCACTATATAGCAATGTACAATGCTATTCTAACACCATCTGTTTTGGACAGCATAGTACAGTACTGTTTTTACAGCTCAGTACTGTTTTAGAAAACAGCTGTGTTCAGTACTGTTTTTACAGCACTGTTTATGAAACCATGCTGTTTGATGCAGTTTGAGATTGGTAGTGTAGTTTATGATAGGTCAGGAATGACCTAATTTTACCTTAAAAATTTAAACAAAGATATATCATATTGTCTACTCAAATGAGCTCAAAATAGTGAATATAGTCTAGTTTTGTCATATTATTGCTACTGAGATATACAATAATGATTAACAATTATAAAAAATGAACCTCAACAGCCATTTATTCCTTTTTAGTACCAATGGCAATACTATCTAGTTTTATAGAACATTTTCTAGGATATGAAAATATTTGATAAGTCCAGAGCAAATCAGATCTGCTTTCAAACATTTGCATCTGTTCTCTTGACACAGGTATCTACCCCATGACCTACATTTTATGTTGTGGCCTCAGTATCAGCAGTGGGAGTAGTCCAGCCACATTCATGTGGTGATAGAAACTGTGGGTAAGAATGCATCAGAATGAATAAGGACTCTAGTCTTCTAATTTTAGGGTATCAAAAAAGATTTAAAGCTTAAGAACACTTGCGTAACCTCTGGGTACACCTTCTATTCCTGCAAATCAGTTGATTTAAGAGTAGTAGCAGAATGCATCTAGCGATTGTATGAAAAATGGTAAGGCCAAGTGGCCTTGAAATATCTAAGGCAGGTCGTACATACTGGAGGAATTTCCCCTCACCATAGGCCATATGCAATCCAAATTGACATTTTCAGCACAAGTTACTGCCAGTTTAAACCACATCAAAATCAACTGTATTGACTATGATTCTTATTAGGTCATGACAGAAGCAGTCTTTGGCATGCTTCTTCATATGAGCGAATGGTGATGGCAGATACTTTACTATCGGGCTAAGATATTGCATTACTTCATTGTGAGGTCACTATCTTCTTGCCATCTTCCTCCAGGGTTTCAGTTTTGATGCCTGGAAGGAAAACAGCTCCCTCTTGTTCCAACCATCTTAGGAAATCTTGCCAATTCCACAGAAGAAAATTAGTAGGATATACTTTCCTCACTGTTCCAGTTTTGTGCTGTTTGTATCTATGCTCATTAACATCAAAGTTGAATGACTAAGCTACATAGTAGATGCCAAAATAATAGACAGGGCATGTATAGTTAAACATGCTAACAGTGAAATATAAAGAAAATTTGGTGATTATGCAAATATGATCTTACCCACGTAAAAGTCTGCAAATAGTTCATTGCCTTGATGTCAGCTGGGATGTTTACAAGGACACTAGCTTAAAGGGGCAACAAGGTCTGTAGAAGATTCAATTTTGTTACTTTTTCTGAGCTATCAGGGCAATATTTGGCTTTGGCATACCTATTTTCTTAAAATGTATGGATAAACTATCAATTTCAGCATTAAGAAGTGTAAATTCAGTTCAAAGCTTCTATAAAGGGAGTCCCACTTATAGGTTTTTAAGATCCAAAACATTTCAAGAGGAATCAGCTGAAATAATGTTCATCCAGGGGGTTTCTTTGGAAAGAAATAAACATATATGTTAGTCTTGATGAAATATCAAAACTTGAATATATTTTGACACTGGTCCATGATTGTTGAATGGCCCCTTTGCACTAATTGTTGCACCTTTAAAACAGCACTAGAGAGACTTGTGGAACTGGAACAAGGATAGTCTAAGGAGGAAACTGAAATCCTTGAAATGGATGGAAAGAAGATAGTGACCACATAAATAAGGAGGCAATGCAATGTTTTAGCCCAACAGTGAGGTTCTGCCATCACCCTTGCTCTTATAAGAAGAAGCAGATTCAAGGATATTTCTCAATATTTTCAGTTAGACTGCTTCAATCATGGCCTTCAAGAGAAAGAATAATACTCCTTACATTTAATTCTGATGTGGTTATCCTGGCATATACTGTATGTGATGTTAAAAACTGAAAAAGTCAATTTGGATAGCATATGGTAAGGGAGAAAACATATCAATATCTACCTGCCCATGACCAAAGTTTAATCCTCCCCATTTCTCATACAATCATTGGATGTGATGTTACATCTACTGCTATGGAAAAATGGAATAAATGGATTGAGATTTAAATGTGTCACTGAATTTTCTAATTGTTGTTAATCATTATCTCAGTAGGAATAAAGTGAAAAACAGACTATTTCCCCATTTTGAGATCATTTTATCTTGAAAATTATTGTGATAACATTTGGCATTCTTGTGCTCAATCATTGACTGTCATTATTCACTGACAGAATCGTTGACAGAAGCAGCTCACCTATTAACCCCCCCCCCCCATCAGGCTAAGGTGACTGGACTTACTACCCTTTGCATTCATTCGACTTTCCTTCTCAAAAGAGAGCTTCGTCTTCACTCTATCAGTTTTCAATGAATCTCTGAACTCACTGTGCTAATCAGAGTTTGTTGTCGAAATAAGGACGGCTTTCTATATGGTCATTTTCTCTGACGAAATCGCATCATTAATGTGCACGCATTTACCACTTGTTCCTTCAAGCTCGCTGATTGGTTGAGAATAGGTCAGCATGGTTTATTGCAGCTTGGGTCATAAATGCTTTAAGACCCAAGCTGCCAATGGCATCGGTCATGGGGACGGGGCTGCTAAACTCACTCCATCCTTTGCTTCTATATTATGGTAATATATGATAAAATCACCCCTGACCTGTCAAAAGCTAAAAATGTCATTTTTCAAATTTCCATTATTTTTTACATCACCTAAGGAATAATATGACAAAACAAGAGTATATGACACAATTCTAAACTCATTTGAGATGCATACGTCTCATAATTAAGAAAAGTTCAAGGTTAAATAAGCCCCCCCCCCCCAGGCCATCATAAGCTAAAATGAAAATTTCAAATTTTAAGAAATGTCCAATCATTTTCTTCATCTTATTGGAGGTATTATGATTAAACAGAACTATATGCATCATCTTGAGCTAATTTGGGATACATATATTACAAACCTTGAAAGTTATTAAGGTAAAATATGGTTCCCCTGGTCCTTCAGAAGCGATAATGAAATTTTTTTTTTTTTTGAAAAGTTCCAATCATTTTTCAATCCGACAAAACAAGACTCAATGCACCATTTTGAGCTCATATGAGACCCATACATTGCATATCTTAAAAATTATTAAGGTAGAATAAGGTTACCCCTAGGCCGCAAGGGCTTAGAAATTCAAATTTCGATAATTTTTATTTCAAAAAATACATGAGCTACCCAAGCCATATTCTATATTTGTGATGAACACTTATACCCCTATTAGTATGAATTTTTCAAAGATGATCAGACATCACATTCTTGAAATACAGTACTTGATGTCCCATATTTGACCCTTTAAAAGATGAATTCACGCTAGATAATTGGGTCAAAATGCATTTTCCACACTTAACACCACATCTACAATCAGTTTGTCTCAATTTCAAGGCTCAGAGCAATCACCAAATGAAGTCATTTAAAAAAATTTACTTCACAACCATTTTTATTTATTTTTTATAATGTACCCCCTCCCCGCCTGATAGGGGTTGGGGTCAGAGACTAAAAAATCCATGAAGACCACTCCGGATCACTTGCCCCGAAATCATTTTCCACTCAGATCAAGTGTTTCTACAACTGTGCCAAGTTTGTTGCTTTCCTGAAAAAGTCGAACTATAAAGGGCTCATTTCTGGACATCTGACTGCGCTATTTGCTAAGAGTAGTGTAGTGAGTGGTGACCGGGAGCTGCTAATAATTCGGACAGGAAGTCCACAGTCCACTAAATCAGACCACATAGGCCTCAGAGACCACACAGCCCACAAGTTTGCTAAGTACTTAACATTAGTAGGCTATACTCAAAATAGTTTGCAGTCAACAGAAATGGTAGGAAAAGAAAAACTGATCTGGAATCTTGGAAACGAGTGACTATTTTTTACGACGTTGGGATTTTCAAAAAACTTATATTAGTGAAATGTGTTATGATTCCTTTTCAAAATTCCGAGCAATACACTAAAAAACAAAATAAGCTTTATTTGATTAAAGTACCTTTATTAATTACTGTACAATCAAATACACTCTGCACACAAATCTATGTTTGCATTTAATAAAATGTTACGCGTTTTAACTGATTTAATTCCTGGCTCTGGGTTGGGATGTTAGGTTGTAGTTCAGTGTTGGGTTCTTCAAAAACCCGTGGAGCCAAGTTTACTACTTTATGAAGAGAAACTTTCGAATTTCTACTCAAAACAGACAGACGTCGTTTATTTTCATCATCTATCTTATACGGGATATGTCTTGATTTCTCTTTTGGATTCACCACGAAACCTGTGACGTAGAACACAAGCTTCCTATGCCTTACAAGTGCGGGGCCCCAGTCGACAGTGGGACGTGCTAATTTTCGTATTCTCTAGAAAATAATTTTATTTACTGATTTATGGGTTATCAACACCCACGTTATAAATCAGCATTTATATGTTATTGAAGTTGTTAATTTTTTCAATGATTGATCATGAAGGCAAAAACAAGGCTTGAGCAAATAAGCTTAATATATATTTTTATATAATTTCTAAGACATGGATTTCAGAAATATCCAAGTTGCCAAGAAAAACGTCAATTACACAACCTTTTTTTATCAAGACATGGATTTTAGTCATATAATAGACTACATGCGAGTAGAAATAATCTTGATTTACGTCATTAATATTCAAAATTCAGTCAAAGCGATGTCATATTTGAAATCTGCATGTAAATGTACATCTAGAAATATGGTTTCGAAAATTGTCTATCAACTTTGAAAATTTAATTTTTTTGAAAATGTGACTTCTTGTTCGGGTTGATTCCCCATAGACCCCATGTTAGAAAATCACAAAAAGTGAATTATCTTTTCTTGTATTGGACAGATAACATTTTCTTTTACTGGACATATTTTAATTTGCATAACTACTAGATACATAAGGGTTATATGAAAATTGAACCACGCAAATAGATGTAATTTAACTTAAAGGAAACTTTCTACTATACCCGCCATGCTATCTGACCCGAACGAGCCACCTGGTGGTGAATCTGTTAACTACCTACTCGCATCTGCGTTATTGCATGATGTGCAGCAGTCAATTATAATTTCGTCAATCATAATCCAAATTGGCATATCAATTTTACTTTTTGAGAGGAATCAAATAAAAGATTGTTTGAAATTATAGATTTATCAAAAATGTTGCAACTTAGAAATATGATGGAGGAATTTGCCCATCTTGTATGTATCCTAAATTAGCCTTAAGGATTATATAAAAATATTCTAAGCTTGAAGATATTACATATGTTCAGGTTTCATTTAATTTTCTTTGCTTCACGTGTCTGTTTTAATACGTAATGTTATAATTTCACCATGGTATTTTCATACTCCTATGCATGCATTTTATACCTGTAAAATTTGTCCTTCCTCTTTGAGAATCTCGGCTATTGCCAATGCAGGTATGGTTCCAATTGATAAGGCAGCAAGAACCCATCCTAAAGCCTCTGCCCATTTAGGATATGTATAATCGTTGTATGTAAGAGGAGAATATGCAACCAACGAGAATATCAACACACACTGAAATTATCGAGTTGAATATATTAATGGATAAGTTAGATTCACAAAAAGGGGTTACAGATGGTGAATATTCAATGAAAAGTAACATCGGTTGTACCTCCATCTTCATTTTTGAATATATTACTAGATAAGTTAGATTCACAAAAAGGGGTTACAGATGGTGAATATTCAATGAAAAGTAACATCGGTTGTACCCCCATCTTCATTTTTGAATATATTACTGGATAAGTTAGATTCACAAAAAGGGGTTACAGATAGTGAATATTCAATGAAAAGTAACATCGGTTGTACCCCCATCTTCATTTTTGAATATATTACTGGATAAGTTAGATTCACAAAAAGGGGTTACAGATGGTGAATATTCAATGAAAAGTAACACCGGTTGTACCTCCATCTTCATTTTTGAATATATTACTAGATAAGTTAGATTCACAAAAAGGGGTTACAGATGGTGAATATTCAATGAAAAGTAACATCGGTTGTACCCCCATCTTCATTTTTGAATATATTACTAGATAAGTTAGATTCACAAAAAGGGGTTACAGATAGTGAATATTCAATGAAAAGTAACATCGGTTGTACCTCCATCTTCATTTTTGAATATATTACTGGATAAGTTAGATTCACAAAAAGGGGTTACAGATGGTGAATATTCAATGAAAAGTAACACCGGTTGTACCCCCATCTTCATTTTTGAATATATTACTAGATAAGTTAGATTCACAAAAAGGGGTTACAGATAGTGAATATTCAATGAAAGTAACATCGGTTGTACCTCCACCTTCATTTCTGAATATATTACTGGATGAGTTAGATTCACAAAAAGGGGTCACAGATGGTGAATATTCAATGAAAAGTAACATCGGTTGAATCTCCACCTTCATTTCTGAATATATTACTGGATGAGTTAGATTCACAAAAAGGGGTCACAGATGGTGAATATTCAATGAAAAGTAACATCGGTTGAATCTCCACCTTCATTTCTGAATATATTACTGGATGAGTTAGATTCACAAAAAGGGGTCACAGATGGTGAATATTCAATGAAAAGTAACATCGGTTGTACCTCCACCTTCATTTTTGAATATATTACTGGATGAGTTAGATTCACGAAAAGGGGTTACAGATGGTGAATATTCAATGAAAAGTAACATCGGTTGTACCTCCATCTTCATTTTTGAATATATTACTGGATGAGTTAGATTCACAAAAGGGGTTACAGATGGTGAATATTCAATGAAAAGTAACATCGGTTGTACCTCCATCTTCATTTTATAAATTTATACATTCGAATTTGTGAATGGTATAGATGCACACCGAGAGCGATCCGATCTGGAAATTCAAGAGGGAGATTGCAGAGGATTTTAGAAATTTGAGGCCCCGTTTCTACAACAATTTTCAATTTTAATTTTACAAATGGTTCATTTTTGAAGACGAGACTCAAAAGCTCATATTAACCTAATTTATTCAATTTTTACCAAAATCATTCCTGGGCATATCAGCTTCCAGCAAACTTTTAACCAAATCCTGACAGGTTTCCACAGAGGAATCATTAGTTGAAGATCCTCAAGGAATCGATTGGCCCCATAAAACCATCCAATGCAGATGCATTCCATTAGGCCCATGATCAGAAAAGGCCATACCACTGTGTAGTTATCCAAAATGACAAATATGTACATTGCTCCCTTAGAAATAACATTAATAGGGTATTATATAGGGTTATCAAAATACCAATATTCAATGACAAGAAGATCTAGATGAAAATGTCAATACCAAAGGTATATTCTTGAAAGAAATCTAGAAACGTTTTACATGATATTCTTGTGCGCTTTACAAAGTGGGTGGATGTGTGACATCTACCTTTAGGGTTCATAACGATCGAACGATAGCTAGAGAAGTTAAATGATAATTCCCAGTTCAATTTCTTTGAAAAGCAACATGAAGAGGTGGAGGTTGGGAGGACTGTATTATTATAGGTTCATAAGTAAATAACCTATTTTTAATATGAAGTAACACATTGAACTACCACGGGCAGGTTTTGATCACCAGCTATTTAGAATTGTTCGTGTTTGATGCAATGCAAATCAACTCGCAGTGTAACTTACAGGAGTTGTCAATGGTAAGGAAAGCACAAAGAAGAAGGCGATGATAACTACTGTCACTATAGGCCTAGATGGTCTCAGCTTCGGGAATACATCAAACACAGACGCATTAATCGATTCCGTGACGGCAAATAGTGCGTTGCAGCCCAGTGTTGTCAACAATAGAAAGAACATCACAGACCACAGTTGAGGAATGGGTAATTTGGACAATGCAAATGGGAAAGTCACAAAAGTCATCGCTGGCCCTGAAATATTCAAACTAAGGTGCATGCGCAGTAAGCACATGCAGACACTCTTTATAGATACCTTTAATTTACTTTTAGACGTTCCCTAACTGTTTATTTATTTTTCATTGTTTCTGAAAAAGAGAGCCTAGTTCATCAGATGTAATTATTGCAAAGCTCCATCTATTCTAAACCATCATTTCAAAATTCAAGCTTATGAAATTTGTGCAGTTCTGAACAAAGGGTCCTTGGTCTAATCAGTGACATGTCTCTAGTCTAATTCTATATTAATTTCTTATATTTTCCAGGTAGTTTTTCCCAGGGTAACAATGTAATCCATTTTTGTTTGATCAGTTTCAACATCATCTGTACCTTCTTTTACGACGTCTTGTACATCGACCCCCATCTGTCTGGCGAGTACGCCGAGGTTAACAAACACAACAAAACCTGCATAGAGTGCCGTCAGTGAAGTACCGACGATAATTAACGCGCCATCCCTGAATAATATTGTATTTTATAAGTAATATTGTTCATTTTAATGGGTTCACTTATCTGCCAGATATATTACTTGAAAATGAATTAACACATGAAAATTATATAATAGACAGAATACGTTAAAATGAAAAACATATATTGTAAATAGGGTATACATAAACATGTACAGTACATATGGGTATCCTGGTATACCGGTATCCTAAAACCTTTGAGTGGTGTATAAAATTTAATTCTAAACGAGTGGTATCCATATGGTGAACTTTTTGAACACGCGTTTCTCTTAAACCAGTCATCAAAACATTCTGAAAACTAAACTTTACACATCGTCAATTTAATGGTCATCTTTTGGATGGTAACATTATGATTTTAAATGTATCTATACTTTTCTCTATATTGTTTTAGAAAAAAAATCAGACACTTCTTTTGTTCTTGGTATCATATGTTCGGATTGACATGAAACATATTTCCGAACCTCATTCGAACAAACCGACGTAAACACAACGTGTTTAGGTCTCTCAACATTGTAATTGTACAAAGAAAATTTTGTTTGATTTTAAAATACTGTAGATTGGGTTAATTTGGCGCCCTCTTAAATTTGGCGAATTTGGCGAAATTGAAAAATTCGCCAATATAAATCTTCGCCAAAATTTAGAATGAATCCCTTGTATAGTAGCAGCATCGACCGAGGTGTAAAATGTAAAGGATGATCTCACAAAAATGTACAAACGTGGTGAATATCGACAGTGGTCCTCAAAAGTTAAATCAACCAAAATTTCCTTTGCATAATATTGAGAGGTCTAAGAAAATGCTGTATATGCTACTTTGAACAAGGTTCGGAAAGACATTTTATTTCATTCTCAAGAATTGGTAGAAAGGAACAAAAACAATTGCCGACAAAAAACAAAAAATGTTAACAAAAACAGTTATATAAAATATAATAATTATTGCAATCAATTGTTGCCAATCAGTCAATATTATATAAAGAACTGTGTTTTTTACAGAATGTTTTCAATAATTGGTTGAACATTGTTGAATTCAGTTCACCATATCGATACCTATTCTTTGATAATCTAATTCTAAGTTTAATGTTCGCTTGCGACTTAACATCGCATTGACAGACTTGCCTGGCAAGTTGAGTCGAGGTTAATCAACTATATTTAACAATTGCTTTACCTAAATATGTTATTGTGAAACCTGTTGAAACTAGACAGCCCTATGACCTCCCCACCGCCAACACTAGTGGAGAAAAATACAGTCCCCGCAGCGTCCTGCCAAACCTATGTGGTAGAGTTAATTTGTTTTTATACAATTCAATTTCAAGAAATACTAGACATAGGTCAATGTTTCACAATTCATTAGTATCTAACTCTTATGAATTTTGTTCCATACCTTAAAGTTGAATACAAAATTTAAGTTTTCAAGGACAAGATCTAATGTATTTTTTCCAAACCTACAGCTGCTTCGGTCAATCGAGTCCAGTTAGGTTTTGAAAGATACAGCTCGACGCCATTTCTTGCTCCATCTTGGGTGGCTCCAAATACCAACATTATGGTGAGAATTACATATGGGAAGGTAGCAGTGAAATACACAACCTGAAGAGAAAAGTACCAAACGCTGGCGTTATATAAGGACAAGAACTTGTGATATTGGATAGGCCAACGACCTCCCCTTTGTAAATATAGGAATTTCTTCATCTGTATTTGACAATCAAGATGTTTTTTTTTTACTTCAAATGACCCTTCAACATCTTCTTTTGTATGATTTATGTCACTTATATCAAGATAAATTAACACGAGTTTTTTAAAGAATATACGTACATGTCTAGCATGCCACGTGACTCGTGGTCATGTATTTAACTATTTCAATCGTTTCGTGACTCCTCATAAAACATTTTTACATTCTTTATATTTGAAATAATAAGAATTTCGTCTCCCAGACATACATGTAGATATGGAATCCCCAATCCTCCCTATAAACTAAGTATGACCACTAGACGAGGATAGAATAATCGATCATAAACCTCTTTTTGAAAGCTTTTTCTAGCTTCTTGAAAGGGGTTCCAGCAATTTCAAGATATTTTCTTATGCTTCTGCATACTTCTAGACTTGTCCAAGCTAGAGTGTCTTTAAGAAACTATGAGACTATTTTGTCATTTTGGGATGTGTAATATTCACCTTCCCCATAGTTTTAACTCCCTTGATCAGACAAACGTATATGATGAGCCAAACCAGCAAGATGACTAACACCAAATTGTACTTGGGTGATCCAATCGATTCTATTCCATCACTTATACCAAGTGTATATGAGCTACAATTGAAAAAATAAGATGTTAATGTATGATTAATGATCATACATGTTGAAATAATCTTTTAAATATTAACTACAGCTTTCTGTTCATAATGTATCGTAACAGAATTACATATGATTATATCATAATTGCTATAAACTTCAGTTGATTTTACATTTTTATAATTATATAAAAGTGATGTTTAAGTTAATAGCACTTTAGTATTCAAAAATAGGTTTGAATATATACGATCTTTCAGTTAATATATAAAAGTGAAATTTTTTTATGATTTTATAAAAATGATTTTCAAAATCTTGTGCTATAGTGTATCTTTCTGTAAATAATATTATAGGAGTATGATGGCATTATTGAAATTATATCAAAATGGTGATTGAAATATAATATTATGAGCAATGTGTTTACAAAAAGTACTCCTCTGCAGCGGAGGACTTGGCCTGTCCTGTTGTATTGAGGTATTTGTCCTCGTCCCACAATCCAATTTGCATTGAATCCATAAAACACGTTCCATTCTCGTATTTCATTTGCCGAGATTCATTACATGGTGTGTTTTCTAGTAATTCAGAACAACCTGCATAACAGACGGAGGCAACATATTTTTTATAATTACTTCGGAAATACACAAAAAATACAGAAGTAAAAGTATTGTTATTCAACAAAGAACACTAACAATTTTAAAAAACAACTTTAGATCTAAACAATATTTTACTTCAGTCTTGCACCGGGTGCCTTGAGCCCTGGATGTGTTTGTAAGATGTTTACACCGTATGCACAGTGCTCGCCAATTATTACAAGTGCGTGAGTAATGACTCGACAAGATCCACAAAATTTAAATATATTGTAACGGTTTTTTAAATGTTTTTATTTTTTTAAATTTTTCGTATATGTGATGGATTTTACGATGTAAAAATATATATGCGATATAATATGTGTTATTTTCTTTGAAAAGCTTTGAAATATTAAAAACAAAAAAGAACATTTTAACACTCTTTAATTTCTTATACTTAGGTTGGGTTTGGGCTTCTATTTGACCATGATAAAATTCACGTTTCCTCTTAATAACATGGAATAAATATTTGAACACAGAAATTAATGGATCGGCCTATAGTGTGAGTTTACCCTACTGCGAGATACGATCTGGCCGAAATATGTCAAGTGGAACAACTCCTAAGCTTGGTCTATTCAATCACACTCCTTATGAGGTTGACCATCTTCGAATTCCAAGTTGGAGAAACTAATCAAGATAGAGTTTGGCTGGCCAGGTTGTATTGACCTTGTCCATAGGAAGTGGATAATGTAGGACGAATAGGATGATATCTCATTCATTAAAATCCTAAATCAATTTATGACAAAATAATAAGACTTGGACAGAAATTGTACCCTCATAACATAACACCCTTTTTACTCGGTATTAAAGTGGAGTTGGAACCTCTGATATGCATGAAATGCTAAGTATTATGTCTATTAATCATAGGTATTTTGGTTTTGTGATTTTGGTAATCTAAAAACAGAAAATTTGGTGAAATATACATTTTCATTCGGCGGGTTATTGATTTTGCTTCATTTATCAACTCAGTTCAGGTATTTCGGTTATAGCCAATCACTGAATCATTTTACCAAATGAATCTTGAGTGTCTCTGATGCAGCATATGGACTACTATCTGTAGTTAAAATAATATTACAGTGGTAAATAAAAGAGAAACAAACATACCTTTCCTTCGGCATTTTGAATTTTGCGGATCTTGTCGAGTCTTTACTCACGCACTTGTCATAAAAGGCGATCGCCGTATATTCAATGGTTTAAGAGGCGAGGGTCACAAAGCGTGATGTACGACTACTCTTACTGCCAGAACTGTATAGTACAAAGATGAATTAGGTGTACCTTTTGTATTCCACGTATTATAACAGTTCGTCCATGGAAGGACACTTGTGAACGACGAAAAAACGTACAATATAGACCATCCGGTCAGCATACTGTAATATACTATGACAATGACGTTTGAAAAGATGTTCGAAGTACCAATACCTGGAAACGAAGAGCAAAAGAATAAATCTACACTACAACACAAGTTTACACAACAATTATTAACAAGTCATAAAAATAGTTCAATCTCGTCATGTGAATAAATAAAAATAAATAAATAAAATAAATAATTTCTCAATAATTCCGCTCTCGCAAGGCAGATCAAATTGCAGAGATATATTGGCACCTTAATTGAAACCTGGGGGACTAAGGTAAATAATCTATTGAAAGTGTACCCATGCATGCAATGTATCCAAATGTTAACCAAGGAAAATACCTTTGAGAAGAGGCATGCACCTCCAAACCGTCAATGGACTACTACTACTGAACTGGCCGAGGGTAAGCTCAAGAAATACAAGTGGTATTCCAATACATATCAGCATAATACCCAAAGGTATTAAAAACACAGGCCCACCATTTTTAAAGCATAAATATGGAAATCTCCATATATTCCCTAAACCCGTACAGAAACCTGAAAATACAAAGTAAAGTGTATTATTATATCATTGCTAGAATTTGTGTCCTTCGATTGGCTGATTCAGTACCATGTGATCAAAAATACCAAAGCGTATTTCACAGCTCCCTTAATTTTTGAATCATAAAAGACGTATTGCCCGGCGTATTGCCCGCCCGGGAATTCTGAATCGTCCCATTTCGTCCAGTACAGTTGTGACATACATTAAAATGGCAGACGGAAAAAGATTTAAAAGTCTGAATTCCGATTAAAATAACGACATCTTGAGGGATGTGCATTCTAAAAACACCATTAAATCAACGGAAAAGTCTTGAAACATTTTCAAGTGTTATGTGGACGAAAAAGATATCGAAATAGACGTTAAATCTATCGATAAAATCGTTCTGGATGGAATTTTTAGAGGATTTTTTTCTTGAACTGCGAACGAAGGATGGGGAATATTACAAGAGTGCCAGTCTGCAAAGTATTCATCATGGACTCAATAGGCACATACAAAGTCTGCGCAATGATATAAATATCATCAACGACTCTGAATTCATCAGATCAGTCAAAGACAGCTCATGTTGCTATGAGAAAGCATTTGAAATCATTGGGAAAAGGAGACACAAAACACCACGTCACCAACCAATAAGTCAAGACGATAGCTCTATTACCCAAATTTATGACTATTTTCGATACGCCCATCATTCAAACACTGTGCTTCAACTCAAGGTGTATTTCGACATGGCCTTACATTTCGGGAGGAGAGGGAGGGAAAATTTGACAAACCTCACCAAACAACACTTCGCAATTAAGTTATTAAGGTAGCATTCTCGAATTAAACTGCCGGCTGACACCTACTTTTTATGGTCAACTCATTCAAATATGAATGAAATAGTGGCAGGTAAAATTCATATTCAAATGAGTTGGTCATACAATAAAGGTGAAATCACGAATGCTACTTTAAGTTAAACATAATACAGTAAAACCTGTCTCAGTGAACACCTCTCTCTAGTGAACACCTGTGTCTATAGTGTTTAGGGGAACATGGGGCAAAACGGCCCTCTGGGGCAAAGTGGCCCATCGAAATATCTTTTGAACTATAAAAAGATGGTTCTTCAAAAGTCACATAATCGAATTTTGAAATATCTGCCACCTTCTCGACCGTCCATTTTTAACCAAGCAGCGTCTCGCTTTACGTAAGAGGTAATTCTACTTTTCACCCTCTTTTTTGGAAATTACCCCTCCCACGAGAATCTCTGAAAAATCCGGCAACAATAGAATATCGTTTTGATTTAACATTTTACATAGAGTGTGCACATTTATTCTTTATTTGTAAAAATTTCGAGCTTCAAATATTAGGCAAATTAAAATGACGACTATTTGAAAATTCACATGTCTTTGGGGCAAAACGGCCCACACATGTTATAACAAAAATCTTATTGTGCAAGAACAATTGGTTTTCAAATGTAACAATTTTAACATCTGGCTTGTGCCTTATTTCCTTCCGACACATATCGAATGACTAGAATTATGGTAGGGGTTAAGAATACTTTATCTGTCAAGGGTTTGAACGTCTGAGATAAGATGTTTGTGGACGAGTCTTGTAATTGATTAATTTTGGTTTCAAAACCCATGTAACAGAGGGTGGGCCGTTTTGCCCCACCCATGGGCCGTTTTGCCCCACTCTCGACAATATTTTTGACCATTGAAAAATCACAGAAGATAGTCCTAGGAAAGTATAAAACACTCGAAAAATGTAAACCACAAACCATTAATAAAGTGGAACATCAAAGTACGCGATGATTGACAGATACGAAAATACCCCGTACAGAACAACTTATAATTAAATTTTTAGGGCCGCTTTGCCCCATGTTCCCTTACTCCTTCCCAGTTCCTAGCACATACTCCATCGAGTCAAGTTTGATTGCCCCTCTGTAGTGAACACCTACCTACAATGAACAAATTTTTGTGGCTCCATAGGTATTCACTGTTCACAAGTTCTACTGTAAATAATTAATCAAATTAAAAAGACACTTACTCAGACAGGTAAGTTTGAATTCGATGTTAGAATCCCAATTCCCACGCTCAGTATTTTCCTCAACTCCGAGTGCATACTCTTCTTCATTTTGATCTCTGCTACTTTTTATGCTCGCTTGTGATATAACCCTAGATATAGTCCGGTCCTCGGTTGATTTGAACGATTGCACAGGTGGTAATGTAAATGACACGGAGCTCTGCATTGTTTTAGAGGAGTAATATAAGAGCAAAATGAAGACTTTTGATGAGTGAAAAGTCGTTAAAATGCAGCTTATATTCAGTTTATGAAAAAGAAAAGACAAGCCAGGCCAGAGGTATGAGTGGCTATATAAGTGCAAAAATACAATGACTTTGATGAGTAAAAGGTCATCCCAACGTAGCATATATTATATTCATGAATGACAAAATATAGAACGAAGAAAAAGCGATGTCAATGACTGTATGGTGAATGGAGCAGTTTCCACTAGTTTTGAATAGGGCGCTATTCAATTGCAACAAATGCCCTCTTTGCGTATTTTCAATGTTTTTGGTCAAAATAAAGACTTTTTTGAATTTTAAAAATTGTCCAATGTATTGATAGGAACCTTATCTTTCGATCATTTGACACCAACAACAGCTCAAACGGACCACATCAAAGCTTACAATAATTAATCAAAAAATATTTTCTATCTGTCAAGCTTTATATATATCATGTTTTTATCGATGCCATCGAAAGATGGCGAAGTTGTTTGTATTACATGATACAGTCATTTTTATAGAGTGTCTTTTAAATCAAAAGTAATTTAGAATATACATTTTGTTTAGCATGTGCATGTGAGTTATTTTTTCCTGGTTCAATATTGAAGCAAGTCAAACTTTGTTTCATATTTGGACGATTGTATGAGTAACATGATTATTTTTTCTTTTTTCTTCTAAATTAAGTATAGTGAGCCTTTAAGTAGTTACAGACCGTAAAAAACGAACCATTCTATGGTATACTAGAAGGAATGATTGCTTGACTGTTCAGCCTTAGGGATATGATTTCTAGGATATTCAGTATACTTTTGAAAAAGGTTTTTGAGTATCATCATTTGATTATCTGTCCAATGAGAAGATTGGAAAAATGTGTTACTTACTTTTGTAGAAAATTCACCATCTTCATTCCCTACTCTCCCCTTATCTAATTTGAGTGATCAAAATCTATGATATGCCATATTTTCATTTAAAGGATATTATCCCCCATCGAACGAACTTCCGGCGGATATAGAGAACGGCTCCGTCTGTCCATACACCCGTCCGTCCGTCCGTCTGTCCTTGCAATATCTCAAATACCTTGTGCCCAATATCGTGACACTGTTGTACGCCCATGCAGCAATTTCGTGACATGATTTCTAGCAGTTTATTTAATACTCGTTCTAGATGCCAATGGGGTTTGCAACGTCATTGTTATCTAATTTTAAAAAAGCTTTACGGGAAGTTAGCGCTTCTCGCGATTTTTGAACGTATATGATTTAGTTTAATCTCAATTGCTTTAATATTTATACAAAAGCTTTGTATAATTTTGCATTGATTGGAGTAACATGTTCCCACGATTTTTATTTGAGTCCTCCCCTTTTCTTCTTAAATATACACTGTGCCTCTAATACATGAGTACGATTCATTTGTTGTGAAGTCAAATAATTCACTTGGATATTGTGCGCTACTGCTTCTTCAGTTATCAAATATCTGTTATAGTCCCTGATCTGGTCCCTCTGAAAACAAGTTTTGTTGTCCAGTACTTTCCCACAAAAATGATTGTACCGTTAGATAGAACAGACTTCCCTCGTAAAGAAAACACCTCTTATATTGATAGAAACAGGGGCAAAAGGCACCAAAATGGGGTTAGATAAGGTGGCATTCTGAAGTCTCACTTTCCTGTCATAGTCCATTTGTCATTTTCTTAACGTATGAATATTTAAAAACATGATGTTTTTCTGTGCAAATACTATCATTAGGGTTTATTGGAGTGATTTAGCTGGGTTGCCAAAAAATTAACGTTGGGGAAATTTTTTGTATCTATCACCATGGTAACATACCAGGTACATGGTGGTATCCCGACGCTAAGTCAATAGTCAACGCCATGTTAAGCCAATGCACCCCTCCCTAATTAGCCGATATACTTTTTTCCCAAAACTAACTTTTTGTCCAACCCAGTTAAATCACTTCAGAAAACCCTTGTTATTATAAATTAACCATAAAACATCGTGTTTTTAACGATTCATAGATTCACTATAGTATGTATAGGGGTGACAAATGGGCTATCATCACGATTCAAGGAAAACCACTAGATGGATTTACTTCAGATTTTCACACATGTTACATAGTAAGAAGTTCTAGAGCTGATTAACTTTCCGGCGGCCATCTTGCATTCTGGTGGCCATCTTGGAATTTTACTTCAAATTTTCACACATGTTATATGGTAAGAAGTTCTAGAGCTGATTAATTTTCCGGCGGCCATTTTGCATTTTGGCGGCCATCTTGGAATTTTTTAGATAGTTATTGTCATAGCGATTCCAGAAAAACACTTAACAGATGTACTTCAAATGTTAACACATGTTATATGGTAAAAAGTCCTAGATCTCATTTTTTCGGTGGTCATCTTGCATTCTGGTGGCCATTTTGGAAGTTTTTGGATTAATCTTGTCATTGCTATTCCAGGAAAACCACTTTACTGATTTTCTTGAAATTTTACACATGTTACATGGTAGATTACATGCTACCTTTTATATCGATATAAACAGGTGCAAAAGGCACTGAAATGGGATTAGACAAGGTGGCATTCTGTAGTCTCACTTTCTTGTCATCACGATTCCAGGAAAACCACCAGATGGATTTACTTCAAATTTTCAGACATGTTCAATAGCCAAGTGAATTCAAGGCAATCAAGCCAATTATCTTTTCTTTGCCTTAGCTGTACATGTTTGGCATGACTCTGGATAAGGCTGGCAAAGTGGTAACTACTTGGGCTGCATTTTTGTACATTTGGTTTTGCTGATTTTATACACAGGTACAATTTTATAATTTATTTCACATCACCCAAAGAATTATTTTTACTTGCAGATAGTTTTGCAACATACTGTTACCATAGCAACAACTTGAATTGGATATTTTCATTACATTTTTTCAATTTTTTAATGACCATACATGTATGAATGAAATAAACTAATAAACTCAAGGAAAATAAATAAATAAACTAATTAACTACTTAAAAGCATTACTGACCATTTTAAAGACAATAATTTCCCAGATTTATACATCATGATTCAAATAAAATGTGCAAGAACAAATGGTTATGACGTCATAATTAATATGCAAATCACTTGATTGCTCTTTCCATTACCTTTCATTTGGTACAAATTTCACCTAAATCTGAGCAATATTTACGAAGATAGACAAACAATCACTGAAAAGAGCCCCTAAAAGTGGGTGTGGGATATTTACTTTTTTACCATAGCAACGCCATATCGGATTCAGAATTGCCAACTTAATATTTCCTGATTGCATTATCCATTACCTTCCATTTGGTGTGAATTTCATCTAAATCTGAGCAATAATGACAGAGATAGGGGCCATACACTGAAAATAGCCCCTAAAAGTGGGCGTGGCATATTTACTTGGTTACCATAGCAACGCCGTCGCAGATTAAGAATTGCCAACATCATTGTTCTTGATCAGTATCACGTATAGTTCATGAAAACATATGTCGCTTAGCTCGCCTCTAAAAAGGACACGGAACTTATTTGGACTTTTGCTCCCACACTACAATGAGAGTCTTGTACTTCAAATTTTCACACATGTTATATGGTAAAAAGTCCTAGACCTCATTAGTTTTTTCAGTTGCCATCTTGAAAAAAACAACTTGACAGATGTACTTCAAATTTTCACACATGTTATATGGTAAAAAGTCCTAGACCTCATTAGTTTTTTCAGTTGCCATCTTGAAAAAAACAACTTGACAGATGTACTTCAAATTTTCACACATGTTATATGGTAAAAAGTCCTAGACCTCATTAGTTTTTTCAGTTGCCATCTTGTATTCTGGCGGCCATCTTGGAAGCTTTAAGATAAATCTTGTCATCGCGATTTCAGGAAAATCAAATGGATTTACTTCAAATTTTCACACATGTTACATGGTAAGAAGTTCTATAGCTGATTAACTTTTCAGCGGCCATCTTGAATTTTGGCGGCCATCTTGAAAGTTTTTTAATATTTTTAGATAAATCTTGTCATCGCCATTCCAGGAAAACAACTTAACAGATCTATTTCAAATTTTAACACATGTTAATAGTAAGAAGTTCTTGAGCTGATTAACTTTTTGGCAGCCATGTTGCATTCTGGCGACCATCCTGGAAGTTTTACATAAATCTTCCAGGAAAACCACTTAACGGATTGTCTTCAAATTTTTACACTTTACATGATAAGATGTTCTTCAACTGAGTAACTTTTCGGCGGCCATCTTACTTTCTAGGCCATCAGATACACACTGCTATGTTTTAGGTACGATCTTCTTCACCATGTGCCTTGTTTACTCTGATTTTGTACTTTATACCACATAAATGCATTTTGTGTTTATACTTTCCCACAAAAATGATTGTACTGTTTGATAGAACAGACTTCCCTCATAAAGAAAACAGCTTTTATATTGATATAAACAGGCGCAAAAGGCACTAAAATTGGGTTACACAACGTTGAATTTTGAAGACAACTTTTCCCTGTTTCTTTATTTTATACCACATAAGTGCATATTTCGTGTATAGTATCAAATGATTTTAAAAACCTCGATATATTGATAGAAACAGGGGCGAAAGGTACTAAAAAGAGGTTACAAAAGGTGGTATTCAAGAGACAACGTTTACTATGCTTCTGTAATAATTTGACATAAATGCATATTTCGTGTATGATATAATCTTCTATATTAATAGAAACATGGGCAACAGCAGCTTCAATGGGGTAACACAAGATGATATTCTAAAATATAACTTTTTACTCTGTTTCTGTTCTTTATATCACACAAATTCATTTTGTGTTTGACATCAATCGATTTTTAGAATAGATAACTACCTTTCATCAATAATAAACAGATTATTGAAAACGTCAAACATTTCTTTGAAATCCAACAATGCATAGCGATTTTTTGGAGTGAAATGTCTGCCTAATTGGCATTGTCTAAGTATAATACGAAATTGAAGCTCTTTTAAGAGAAATATATGTGTGTGGCCTATATGTATGGACAACTTTTCACTGTGCACCATGTTACGAGACCTTCATGTAAATGTTAATGTAACTGCTTTCAAATGTTTTCTATGAATAAAAAAGGAATAAAAAAATTCTAAAAATCAATTGATGTCATACACAAAATGCATCTATTGTGTGGTATAAAGTACAAACACAGAGTAAACAAGGCACATGGTGAACAATATCGTACCTATAACATAGCAGTGTGGACTTGATGACCTAGAGAGCAAGGTGGCCGCAGAAAAGTTCATCAGTTCTAGAACTTCAAGATGGCTGCTAGAATGCAAAATGGCCACCGAAAAGTTGATCAGCTGTAGAACTTCTTACCATGTAACACGTGTGAACATTTGAAGCAAATCTGTTAAGTGTTTTTTCTGGAATCACAATGACAAGATTTATCTAGAAACTTCCAAGATGGCCGTCAGAATACAAGATGGCTACCGGAAAGTTAATCAGCTCTATAACTTCTTACCATGTAACATGTCAGAAAATTTGAAGTAAAACTGTCAAGCAGTTTTCCTGGAATCGCGATGACTAGATTTATCTAAAAACTTCCAAGTTAGCCGCCACAATGCAAGATGGCCACCGAAAATTAAAGTTAACCAGCTCTAATGAACTTTATACCATGTAACATATGTGAAAATTTGAAGTAAATCTGTTAAGCGGTTTTCCTGGAATCACGATGGCAAGATTTATCCAAAAACTTCCAAGATGGCGGCCATAATGCAAGATGGCTGCCGAAAAGTTATTCAGCTCAAAAACTTCATACCATGTAACATGTGTGAAAATTTGAAGTAAATCTATTAAGTGGTTTTCCTGGAATCACGATGACAAGATTTATCCAAAAACTTCCAAGATGGCCACCAGAATGCAAGATGGCCGCCGAAAAGTTAATCAACTCTAGATTTTCTTACCATGTAAATTGTGTGGAAATTTGAAGTAAATCCGTTTGGTTTTCCTGAAATCGTGATGACAAGATTTATCTTAAAACTTCCAAGATGGCCGCCAGAATGCAAGATGGCAACTGAAAAAACTAATGAGGTCTAGGACTTTTTACCATATAACATGTGTGAAAATTTGAAGTACATCTGTCAAGTTGTTTTTCTGGAATCGCGATGACAAGATTTATCTAAAAAGATCCAAGATGGCCGCCAAAATGCAAAATGGCCGCCGGAAAATTAACAGCTCTAGAACTTCTTACCATATAACATGTGTGAAAATTTGAAGTAAATCCATCTGATGGTTTTCTAGGAATCGTGATGACAAGAAAGTGAGACTTCAGAATGCCACCTTGTCTAACCCCTTTTTGGTGCCTTTTGCCCCTGTTTCTATCAATATAAGAGGCGTTTTCTTTATGAGGAAAGTCTGTTCTTTCAAACGATTCAATCATTTTATGTGGGAAAGTCACGGACAACAAACTCCTTTTCTAGAGCCCTTTTGGAAATGAGATCAGGGACTATTATATTTATCTGGCCGTGTCAAGTATCTAGGTAGTTGTACAAACGTACTTACATACTTTAGAACAACTTTATTGAACTTGTTAAACCACTATTTGATCTACCCGACCGTTTACATGGTTTATATACAATACAGTGTGTTTAACTCTATGCTGTTAAGACCAATTTGCGACGTAGACGTAAGGGATTGACGAGTAAGAGTCTCTGAGAGGGAATGAGATTCAATTTGAGGACCATGCAGAGGTTTGTAAGATACGTTGAAAGGTATGTTTGGCCCAGACGTCATGTGAGAGGAGTTGTCCAATTGGCTAATCGTAAGTACCTGCCAGGGTCTGATGGTCTACACTTCCCTGCTGTCCTAGCAGAGCCACGTGATGATTTTCCACGAATCAGAACGGCTACCGAGCTGTCAATCAACGATACTCTTCCGGCAATAAAATGTGGTCGTGTCATCCATGAAAATTTCATGAACGACATCCTCCAATATGGAGCAGTCTGGTATCGAGGGCTGCCATTAAACAATTTTGAAGACTTTTCACAATTTTTCTATGGACTAAACGTCTATGAGACGGCCGGATATACAGGTGGTCAAGCCCCGAGAAGCGCCGTTGGTAAAAATGTAGTTACGGCAAGCAATGAGCCTGGAGAATATTGCATTGAACTTCACAATGAGATGGCGTATGTGTCAACGTACCCTCATATGGTATACATGTATTCACTGATTAACTACGCTGTAAAAAAGTGGATAAGCCATACGGAGACCGCAAGGCGACCGTAGCTTTTCATGTTTGCCGCAGAAATTGATTTACAATTGAAACTACAGTCGACGTGCGGTCCCCGTAGAGCAAGTAAGGCTTTAGTCACAAGCGATACTTTTCAGGTTAAGTATTTAACCTGCCCGTAGCCAGCTTTTATCAAGGGTGAGGGAGAGCTTTTGCCAAGGGGAGCTCTTGCAAAGGGGAGGGGGTGAGCTTTTTGCCAGTCTTGGATAAAAAGCGTGCGAAAGTGCTCAAATGGTGAAAAACTGTATGTGCAAGTAAATAAATTGCCTTAAGTAATTATATCTGTAGGTCATGTTTTACTGCGAGGTTCCTCCTGGTGAGGGGGCCGGTGGAGAGAGCGTAGTGTCAGACTGTAGGCGTATCAAGGAGGACCTCGACCCGGGCGTAGTAGAAAAGTTCGACAGGCTTGGAGTGAAATACCACTTTCACGTTGCAAGTAAATACGATAAGAGCAATGAGCATGGGCATTCGTGGCAAATGGTAATTATTCGAAATTTAGTTGCTATTAGATCCATAATGACGTAATTTATAAAAAGTGTTCTGTTGAATGATCTTTCTGTTTTGAGTTTGAAGCATTATCGCTTGACTTATTTGTTTGAACCGTTATCTCAGCGTAAACATATCAAATATTCGTTGTAATACATCCAAATTGGTGGCTATTCTGAATGTCCATTTTGTACAACCTTACCTGTTGAGGAAGACTTATCACATTTTAATTTGAATTGTGCTTCCTTTGCAAAAGAAAGAGCAGAATGCTCAAATCTATTAATACTAATATACCGTATTCAACAGCCACAGTGATGACCTTAAAGTTCAAAAGTTATTTAACAATGACTGTCTTTATAGATATATAAAGTCAGCGTATCACCAGAGGAACTAATATTAACAACTTGAAAGGTCTACACTTATACATTATATATATATGTTCCTACTATTGTTGATAATGTACATTCAGCTGCACTATATATGCATACAAATGTCAGCTTGTACTTGGTAAGACATATTTTGTTGGGCCAATAAACTTAAACTTACTCGCTTATATCAATCTACGTGTGCACAATAACTTAAAAATGCCTGTTTCAACATTTCTGTCGCGTCACGGCCGTAATTCACACGATCATAGCAACACTACTTTTTACTGCAATATTAAAATAAATACACACTAACCCCCCTATCACACCAAACTCGTTCTTACCCGTTCTTGCCAGTCCTACGAAAACGTCGTAAAACGGGCTCAATCTGGCTGTGGTCGGGAAATATGTCTGAAATAATTAGCTTCTTCGTTCTTAAACAGTCTTCAATACGTCCATCTCGTTCGCAGTTCGTTCAGGTCGCACCACGTCGGTGTGCAACGCCGTAGAACGCGTCCCTTAGTCTAGAAGGTCATCATGACCTGATAACAGAACGGTATGGTCGCAATCGAATTTTGAATCGATTCAAAATTCTAAAATCACATTCCCGTCTGAGAACGTTCATAAAGTTCGTAAATAGACCTTAGAAAGTTACAGGTACGTTCATTCCGTTCGCACACAGTTTAAAACCAGTTTTGAAGAACGCAGTGGCAACTTGTTTGGTGTGATAGCTATATTTTTGCTAACTCGTTCATAAGCAGTGTTAAATACGTTCTTAATCAGTTTAAACCCGTTTGCAATTAGTTCTACCTAGTTCTCAACACGTCCTCAGACACTTCAACTCGTTGTTAAAACGTCCCTAGTAGGATTGAAGTACGACGGTTCCGTTCGTAGTACGTCCAGCTCGTCGTTTGTACGTTGTCACTCGTTCTAATTGTAGAACGTGACGACCACGAGAACATTTTGAGCATTGTCTAAGTTCTAGAACACCTACCCGTTCGAGTACGTTCGATGAAGTTTGTAAATAGATCCCAAACGGTTCTTAGTACGTCCAGTCCGTTCGTACACAGTTGAAGCCCGTTCTCGAGAACGTAGTGAGAACTAGTTTGGTGTGATAGTAGGGTTACGTACCTTTTATACTGAAACATACCAGGTCGTTCTTAGATTCCTGCTAAAATGTTTATTTTTTGATTATCAACATTTTTTGGGAAAATTTTACAGAATGGCACCACAGGAGCTGATTGGAGGTATTCTAATATATTACCGAGGCCATTTTTCTGTTTCAATGAATTTGTATTTTTTCATATTCCAAAAAATTTTCCACACTTGAAAATTAATGAGTTGCCATCTATATGAATCCTGGATCTCATTACCCTACTATCACACCAAACTAGTTCTCACTACGTTCTCGAAAACGGGCTTCAACTGTGTACGAACGGACTGGACCTATTAAGAACCGCTTGGGATCTATTTACAAACTTCATCGAACGTACTCGAACGGGTAGGTCCTCAAGAACTTAGACAATGCTCAAAATGTTCTCGTGGTCGCCACGTTCTACAATTAGAACGAGTGACAACGTACTAACGACGAGCTGGACGAACTACGAACGGAACCGTCGTACTTCAATCCTACTAGGGACGTTTTAACAACGAGTTGAACTGTCTGAGGACGAGTTGAGAACGAGGTAGAACTAATTGCAAACGGGTTTAAACTGATTAAGAACGTATTTAACACTGCTTATGAACGAGTTAGCAAAAATATAGCTATCACACCAAACAAGTTGCCACTGCGTTCTTCAAAACTGGTTTTAAACTGTGTGCGAACGGAATGAACGTAGCTGCAACTTTCTAAGGTCTATTTACGAACTTTATGAACGTTCTCAGACGGGAATGTGATTTTAGAATTTTGAATCGATTCGAAATTCGATGGCGACCATACCGTTCTGTAATCAGGTCATGTTGACCTTCTAGACTAAGGGACGCGTTCTACTACGTTGCACACCGACGTGGTGCGACCTGAACGAACTGCGAACGAGATGGACGTATTGAAGACTGTTTAAGAACGAAGAAGCTAATTATTTCAGACAAATTTCCCGACCACAGCCAGATTGAGCCCGTTTTACGACGTTTTCGTAGGACTGGCAAGAACGGGTAAGAACTAGTTTGGTGTGATAGGGGGGTTAATGCAAAGAATAGCAGCAAAATATGTCATTCCGTTGTCATATATTTATACAGGTTGGTACATGTACTTATATGCTCGATAAAGTTCATTGTTTGCTATAGATGTTCAACACTGAGAAAAAGAAGGATTTGGAAGAAGTACTAGACAGAGAAGGCACTTCGTATTTTTGGAACAAAGATGATTCGATCAAGTTCTGGAGAATTTTACCTGCAATGGCGTTTCATCCGAAAACAGGTCAGGTTGCAAAGATTTCATTAGGCCTTTGTGTTTTTATTTATTTATTTTTGGGAAAGTGAAGAGGGCCGGGTTTTATTTCTTATAACCTTTTACTATCTTTATCCTTTTTTCAAAAATGGATTAACATGATTGATTTGAATAACTCTCTTGAAGTTTTTATGACCAACCTAACCAGTGAGAACAAAGATGTTTATTTAATGGGAGACTTTACATTGATCTTTTAAAATTGGAGAATCATACTCAATCTGAACGTTTTCTAAACATAATAACAACACATGGTCTTAATCCACTTATTTTTAAACCAACTAGAGTCACAGCTACATCAGGTACATCTGGAATCATTATCTCTGACATCTCTGACCATTTTCCCATCTTTTTTACTACAAATAAGCAATTGCACACACTTGTTCAAAAAACCAATACTTATAGAGTTATAAATTCTGATAATTTGAACATTTTTAAAAACAAGATGGCTTTAATTGATTGGTCAAACACTTGTTCAATTGAAGAAGATTGTGGAATTCTTAAAGGAATATATAATAACACTTTTCCACTTAAAACAAAATGTATAATTAATACTGATAAACCATGGCTAACCCCAGCTATCCTTACTTCAGTTAAGCATAAAAGTACATTATACAAGGCCTTCTTAAAAAATCCTTCAGAAGAAAATAAAACAAGGTATAAAATTTATAAAAACACACTTACTACAATGATACGCAAATCGGAAAAGACCCATTTTAATCGACAAATTGATGATGCCAAGGGTAATTTAAAGCACACATGGAAGGTCATTGACTCAATATTAAAAAAAAATACTAAAGCTTCTTCAACTGATTTCTTTGAAAATGATGGCGTTTTTCATAGAGACAATCAATCAATTGCTGAAAATTTTAATAAATATTTTACAAATATCGGTCCTAGGCTTGCAAGTAAAATCTCATGTAGTACTTCACATAATGAGTTCCTTAGGAAAATTAATCGCATTCCTACCTCAATGTTTTTAAATCCAATAAATCCAGATGAAATGTCCTTGATAATTTCTAACCTTAAGGATGGGGCTCCGGGAATAGATGGGTTTAAGGCCTGTGCTTTGAAATATTGTTAACATATATTAGCTCCACTTCTTAGGCACCTGTGCAATTTATCTTTTGTAAATGGCATTTTACCAGATATTCTAAAAACAGCTAAAATAACACCAATTTTCAAAAAGGGAAAACCTAGTTTATTCTCAAACTACAGGCCTATTTCTCTTCTTAGCATCTTTTCAAAAGTGCTAGAGAAACTCATGCATAAAAGACTCATAGATTTCATAATAAAACAGAAAATACTGACCTCAAGTCAGTTTGGTTTTTTACCAAACAAATCAACTTATATGGCAATTTTAACTTTTCTTGAAAACCTCAGAACATCTCTCGATGATAACAACTTTAACATAGGACTGTTTCTTGACGTATCCAAGGCATTTGACACTGTTGATCACAAAATTCTACTTGAAAAAATTGATTTTTATGGGTTAAGGGGAAATGTAAAAAATTGGTTCACTTCCTAATTAGAAAACAGAAAACAGATCACTTGCTACAATAACACTTTTTCAAATCAAGATATTATTAAATGTGGTGTACCTCAAGGGTCTATACTTGGACCGACTTTGTTTTTAATGTATATTAATGATATTACTTCAACCTCAAATCTTATCAAATTTGTATTATATGCAGATAATTGCCAGCAAACAGCAAACAGTGAAGTCACACAAATTTTTGCTCTTGAAATACTGGAAATATCAGTGGATTCTTAAAAGTTATAAACAATCAAAGGACACAAATAGGGGTATGAATATACCAGGAACACATTGGTAAAACCAGTTTTTATTGAGGAATTATCTCAAAAGAGATTTTGAAGGAACTTTTCATCAAAATTTTGTAACATTTAAACAAAGAAAGGTCAAAATCTAGGTATTGAACCAATAATATCAACAGTTAAAGATTAATTGGCTAGCCTAATCGACTTGAGCTGTTAATAACTATACCAGTGCAGAGCGTCAATCCAATAACTTCACTCCCTTGATTGGGGTTAACAACTTATTACTCTATAAGCACTAATTAACATTTTGGTCAAGCTTGCACATTTGCAATCAACCTGTGACATTATGGCTGAAGCTAACCTTGGTACTATAAGCCAACTTATACCATCTGAAAGTGACACTAGTTTCAATGATAGTGACTTTAACTCCTCAATTAATGGACTCTCTCAAGGTTCATCACCCACTACCACTCAACAGACACTGTCCATCTTAACGCCTACTGCAGTATCGAACCCTGACCTACTTAATAATGACACTGTCCCTAAAGTGATAGCCACGAACGTGAAACCCACACCCCGCCTACGTCGCACAACACGCCACTCAACGGCTAGCACCCTCATGACTAGAAAACCAAAAAACCCTGCAAGCAAAGCTAAAAGGCCATCTATCTCTAAACCAAGAGGGAGACCCCGCAAGGCTCAATCCCAACCAGATCCCCAACGAAGTGTTAAACAAAAATCTGCAACTAACACTAACACTGATGACGATACTGTGGTCTCACTCCTTAGATCCCTAAAAGCATCCCTAGACACTACTAATGCTATGCTAGGGGCCCTCCAAACAACCAACGCTGACTTGGTTAGTCAATTAGCCGCAAAGACTGCCACGTGTCAAGCATTAGAAACAGAATGTCAATCCTTAAGGAAGCAGCTCAATAATAGAGGCCCTCCTTCAGATACCACATCTAGTAAAACTCTTCTGGTGGGATCTTCACTCCTAAGGGATATAGATGAAACCTGTCTCGACACCAAACTTGTTGATATTAAATGTATTAGTGGTGGTACCATCTCAGATGCCCAGAAAGCCCTCGTGAATAATGAATCCTATGATAAAGTTATATTGCAAATTGGAAGCAATGATTGTGCTAAAGTGGACAAAGCTAAAAACATTGTGGACGATTATAAACTTCTTCTATCTGGAGCGAAGGCCATTTCTAAAGAGGTTTCCATCTCGAGTATCTGTCCCCGTACAGACGATAAAGAAGCCCAAGAAAAGGCCCAGGCAGTAAACGCTGAACTGCAAGTTTTGTGTGACCACACCGACAAAACAACCTTCATTAACAATGACAATACTTTTATTCTGCAAGATGGCACTATCAACGAAGGCTTCTTGAATAGAGATGGTCTCCATCTCAACCCAGCTGGCACTAACCGTCTGGTGCATAATATGGGACTTACAAAATCTCTCAAGAGTGTCACAAAGCCCTTCAATCAATATAAGAAATCAAGGTCCAATGCCCCTAAAAATGTTCCAAATACCACTCCCAGACCTAATAGCGACTCTTTTGCCAATAATATGAACAATAACCTCAGAGCTAGAGTAACACACAATAACGCCAATGGACAACCCATCCCTAAACACTCATTGGCCAACGTCACCTCTGCTGCCAATAAAGCTAAGCCTATTTGCTATAAATGTGGAGAGGCCTCCCATCTTGCTTCGACTTGTTGGCACCCCAATTCCATCAGATGTTATTCCTGCATGAATCTCGGCCACAAGACCCATAAGTGCCCTTATAAGGACATCTCAACTTCTAACAAATACTAGGTCCTTGGCCATGTTAGTGCCGTTCCCCCATGTGCTCATTTTAATGGTAATTCAGTTGGTAAGCGAAAAGCTAAGAACCATAAAAAGCAACGCAGGAGTGGTAAAAACAGGAAGCCTAAAATGGTTTCAAAACCAGTTGTGATGGGATATAATAATGCTCAACACCTTGGCCTGTCTAAACAAATTCAATTAAAAGAAATACTTCATGGTCAAGAATATGACATTTTTGCTTTAACTGAGACGTTTTTTAATAACCGAAATTCCCTTGCTGTAAGTAGCGAAAATCATGATTGGTTAGGTAAAAATAGAGAGAACAAAAATGGTGGAGGCTTAGGCTTTTTCATTCATAATTCTATCAAGACCATTAATGATAATGTACTTGAATCTAAATCTGATGACTATGATTGCTATTGGGTTGAAATTGAAGTCAACAAAAAGAAATTTATTCTTGGAGTCGCTTATTTTCCTAATGATGGCAAAGACATGAAGAAATGTCAAGACTTATTTGATGAACTCCTATCCAATGTTTCCAGCCTAAATAACAAGAATGTTATTCTTTTTGGGGACTTCAATGGTAAAATTGCGCATTTCAATTCTGGCAAGAAGAGCCCTAATGGTGAACTCCTTGACATATTTGTTGACTCTGCTGACCTCTCCATTTTAAATTTATCTGATCGCTGTTCAGGTGAGATAACTTGGCAAAGAAACAGCCATTCTTCTACTATTGATTATGTACTTATGAATGACCCATGTATACAATTTTTCCATAAAATGACAGTTCACGAGAACCATGATGTGTCAGTGGGCAGTGACCACTCAATCATAACTCTTGAACTGTCAATACATGCTAATGAAGTTAAACCTAAATCTGTAAACATCCAACAAGAGAAGCCATTTAGGTGGAACTTCAATGAGTCAACAGATTGGACTTCTTTCCGCGAAATGTTATCTGATAAACTCTCAAATTGGTCACTAAATGATTTTAGTAATGTCAATGAAGCGTGGAAAAGCTGGAAAACTATTTTAACTGAGGTTGCAGATACAACTATTGGTAGAAGCCTCATTAACCCTAAACTCCGCCACTTTTGGGATGATGAATTAAAAGCCCTGATCAAAAGTCGCAAAGATGCGTGTCGTCTTCATAGATATATGAGTAAAGTCAAATCTGTTGACCCAAATGTTATTTTAACATTATGGGAGTCCTACTTAGATCGTAAAAATAAAGTAAAGGACCTTATAAGGGAACGTCATGTGAAGAATCATATCAAAACTATTACCAAAAATTCACTACGTAAATCTTCATCATCTAGATCTTTTTGGCGAACCCTCCAAATGTTTAATGCTAAAAGTAAATTCCCAAATGAAATCATTGACCCATTTAACCCCAACTCTACGATTGACGACCCCAAACTAGTTTCCCATACGATTGGCAAATATTGGGCAAATGTCGGACCCAAAAGTAGAAACCCCAACTATGTCAAGACCAATCTGTCTGATGAACTAAATAAACTTGAAAGTGAAACCAAATTTTCTCCAAATTGTTTGAACCATTTTATCATATCTGAAGCAGAAGTTTTGAGGAAAATCAATAACTTGAAAAATGGAAAGGCAAGCGGCAATGATCATATTCCCAATGAATTTTTGAAAAATGGCGGGGACTCTATAGTTTCTTCCATTTCAAAATTGTTTAACTTTTTCAAACTTATGGAAACTATCCCAGATGATTGGTACGAAGGAACCATTAACCCCATTCATAAAGATAATGATCGTAAAGAATTAGGTAATTACCGAGGCATCACAATCACGTCCAACCTGTATAAACTATATGCTAGCATTTTAGAAACGGAAATAATGACCTTCCTAGAAGAAAATAATCTGCTTGGTGACTACCATGGTGCCTTCCGTAAAGGTAGGCGTCTGGAAGACAATATTTTCACTCTTAAAGGTATATGTAGTCTCCGTAGAGATAAAAATCAAAAGACTTATCTAGCTTTCATCGATATATCGAAAGCCTTTGACGTTATTGACCGTGAACAACTCTTTATATCTCTTTGGAAGAAAGGAATCCAGGGCAAAGCCTGGCGTGTATTGAAAAATCTATACGCATGTGTCAAAAACAAAGTTATATTTGGTAATTTTGGTAGTGAATGTTTCGAAGTTGAATCTGGCCTAAAACAGGGATGTGTACTCTCACCTACTCTATTTACTGTAATTATGACCGATTTGATTGACAGCCTGATCGAAAATGATATGGGTATCCCTTTCAAAGATCTAACTCTACCCGCATTGCTTTTTGCAGATGACATCGTCCTCACAGCTACCAGCGAATCTGATCTCTGTAGAATGCTTGATATTACAAACGAATTTGGTAAAAAATGGGGGTTTAGTTTCAGCTCAAAAAAGTCTAAAGTTATGATCATAGGTGGAAAAGTTAACAAACATAAAGTTTGGAAGCTTGGTGAGCTCTCCCTCAATGAAGTAAAAACATATAAGTACCTTGGCGTTTATTTTGACAAAACACTGAAAGACTCGCACCATATTAATAATATTCTTGGTTTAAAATCAAAAAAGCTCAAAGGTTATATAACCTCAACCCTCAACAAACATTGTAATATCCAACGAATTCAATTTGGTAACACCATGTATAATAACATGTTCCTTCCTTCAATATTGCATGGAGCAGGAGTCCTCCTTCCAAACACAAGCGAAATGAAGAAAAATTTAAAGTCGTATCAATACCAAGCTGGTTTATCCATTCTTAGCCTTAAGTGTTCCCCAGCTTATGAAGCCCTTGTCTGTGATATGGGCTGGCGTCCAATTGAAAAGATCTTTCAAAAACGTCAAATTGACTATTATCTAAAGAATAAAAACTCACAAACCCTAGTATCAAAGGTTTTATCTGCCCTCTTGGAATCATATTCAATAAATAAAGAATCTAATTGGAAGTATGTTTCTAACATAGCAAATATATTAGTGCACCATGGGCTCGATAATGAATTAAATGTTAATTCTGAAGAATGGTACTCATCCTTTCTCAATATTTCCAACGAAATTACTACTAAGGAATTGTTTTCATCAATTTGCGACCGGCCATCCCTATCCCTTTATAGAAATGTTAAGAGACATGTCTTTCAAGAAGAGTACCTAAAAAACCCATTCAACTTCCAAGGAGCAAGACAAAAATTCTTAGCCAGGTCGGGTTGCTTTAAATTAGAATCAGACCTTAAAAGGTGGAATAAAAGTGATGGCTTTTGTAAATTATGCCCCTCCAATTCTTATGACTCTATGTCCCATCGCCTGTTCCTTTGCCCCGTCCTCCAGGATAAAAGAAACCTATTCATTAACAATTTAATCTGTTCATGTGACGTTGCCCTTGTAGGTGAATACTTATCAGCGAGCCTTAATGATAAGCTACAATGGATTATTGGTGATTCACTTTACATAGGCACATGGGGGCAGGACCAAATAAATAAATTTGAGAAATGTGTTTACGAATTTTTAAAGGAAATGTATTTTTAATGATTTTAACCTATTGTATGTATGTATTTTAGTCTCTTTGGATGCACACTAAATTTTAGTAGTGCCGCTGTTGTAAAAGCGTTTTATCCTAATAAATAAATAAAAAAATAAAAAAATACTAATTTACTTATATCTAATCGTAATATGGATGAATTAGTTAGACTATTAAACAAAGAACTGCAAACAATTAATCAATGGTTTAAAGCTAACAAACTATCTCTCAACTTAGATAAAACTAATTTCATAATTTTTACTCCAGGTAGAAATTTAATCCATGACATAAATATACATATTGACAATGTGCCAATAAAAAGAGAAAGTAGTGTTAACTTTCTTGGAGTATTTATTGACGAAAAGTTAAATTGGAAAAAGCACATTCAGCATATTACTAATAAGATATCAAGAATAACAGGCATTCTCTATAAAGTAAGAGACATCCTTGATCATGACTCTAAACTTAAAGTATATCATTCATTAATCCTTTCTCAAATTAACTATTGCAATATTATTTGAGGTCATGGAAAAAAGAACATACTTACACCAATACATCTTATTCAAAAGAAATGTATCAGATTGATTACAAATTCACATTTTAGAGAGCACATTGCCCCTTTATTCAAAAAAGAAAACATTTTGACAATTTTTGATATTTATCATTTAAATGTTGCTACATTTGTATACAAATGCTTAAACATACCATCTGGCTTTCCTATATACATTTTTAAAGATTATTTTAAAATTTCCCAACATGGCCATGACACAAGATCTTAACACCTTTTAGTCCAACCTAAATGCCGCATTAAGTTTGGTTGGGACTCACTTAAATATATTGGACCATCATATTAAAATAAACTACCTAATGAAATTAAGCACAGTGTCAGTACAGTTATATTCAAGGCAGCACTTAAACATCATATTATATCAACTTATTAATTTATTATATGTAACTCTAGCAGACTCTACCATCTCACTTTTCCTGCATTCCTGCACTCCATTAAAATAATTGTATTTACAAATATTGACTTTTGATCCTTGAACTACAATATACGCTTTTGCGTCAAATTGTATATGATTATATGTATGTAACATGTTAAAATTGGAATAAACTTAAAGTGTGCGCCAAAGTTTAATACTGCGCAGGCGCAGCATTCTCGCTAAACTATATAAAGAGATCACCGGGTACACGATTCAGAGGTAAGCAAGGAAGGCGAACAATCTTCGTCTCGTGATGATTTACCGTATAATCGTAACCAGGGAAGTTTCACCATTGAAATTGAAAATTACTATTAGATGTAGTTTGTAGATGTTATTTATGAAGCTGTTTAGTGTATGTATCAATCAAATGGCTCATTTTGGACATATAAAAAGTATTTGTCTTTTGTTTCCCCTGGAATCGTATTCCCACACATAAATAGTGTACATTATGTAGTACATATTGAATAGCCTGGTATAGTAACACCGTGTTTATATAATATTGAAGGGCATGCTGATTGTACACACGAGTACATGCATGCTAGAAGGCCTAATTTTATATAGCTTGCATACCTAAATAAAAAATAAATCCTTCTAATCCCCTTATGTAAATACGGCGGTATACGTAGCCCGATTTATCGGAATCTTTAAACTTAAACTTAGGCTTAGTTTTCAAAAGGTGTAGAATTTTCCAACGTTCTTATACTATGACTTCATTATGTCAATGGTTACATTCATTATGATTTAGGTATTCATTACGTAACGAAGTTTATGTTGATGGTCATGACCCCTAATATCCTATTCAGAAAATACTGCAATATTTGTACTTTACATAGGTGAGCAAATGTGGATCAACCATATTTACAAGAAACACGCATCGGGCTGGGCCTTTCATCCAAGTTTCCAAGGGAAACAGCTTGACAACGACAAGTACCCAACACATAGTTACTATGGCGACGGAACTGAAATTGAGGATGACGTCATTCAACACATTCGGGATATCAGTTGGAAATGTGCTGTTGGATTTCAGATGAAGAAGAGGGACGTTCTAGTTATGGACAATATGAGGGTCCAACATGCCAGGTTGAGTTTCACTGGAGAGCGGAAATTATTGGCGATTCTTGGACGTTATAAGGACCAATAGACCAAAACAATAATATTAATGTAAAATATAAAACATACAGCGTAGCAAAGCATTTTGATTTTTTTCTTGGTCAACCAAAACAGTGTATAACCATGCTATATTCTATAACAGAGTATGAATATTATGACCTCGACCTAGATTCATTAAATTGAATACCTTATCATTTTTAAGGACTCGATGGGCCATTCTGTGCATTCCCCTGCTATTTTCTTAAAGCACACGTTTCTTGAATGCTAGTTTTAACAACCTAGCATCGCATCTACTAAAATAGCATATACGAATTTATTTGTTATATGAATCTATTTTGTCCAATTAAATCAATGCCTTGTCCTCACCAAAAACATTTTAACAGCAATACGTGCATTTAAGTGTGCATTATCACCTTTACATGTCACAATAATAAACATGCTGATTCAAACAAGCCAGAAAGAGAAGAAGTATAATTGATTGTTCAATTGAATTTTTGCAGAACAAGTCAAAAGTAAGCTTTATTTGTTTGTTGTCGTCAAAGTGGATGTATGTTGTGCTGTCAATATATCTGTTTTCACTATACATTATTACTATTTTAAAGTAAATGTGCTAATGCATAATGAAAACAAAAATACATAAATCGCTATTACAACTCAGAAGAGAAGAAATGCATAATATAATTTATGATTGTATTGTTAATCTAAATTTTTGGAAGTAAGTCAATAATAAGCTTTATTTGTGTCTTGTCGTTTGCTGTGCATGGCAACTATCTTTTCTTTCTGAGCTGCCATCTCCCGGCTCTTGTAGCAAGTAAATATGACTGTTCCTATGGCTACTAACAACAACAAAGAGAGTATACCAACAACCGAAGCAAATGTGAGGGATTCCATGCAAGATACCATTTTCGGTGTCTCCTGTTTATTGACTGTTGTTGGACCATTCAGTGAATTGAGAACAGAGTTTTCTGAAACATGCAAAATCAAAAGGTCAGCATCATACATGTCAAGTTCTACCACAATGAAAGAAAATATTCACAAAGAAAAGATGGCGACCTAGAATAGACATTGTATTGTATTGAATAAGATGAGCTTCATAATTTAAAGCATATTTTACGTATTATATACTAAATCTGTTATGATAAAAGTTAATTATATCCTTTTAAATGATTTAATTTCAATGTTAATTCACAATTGAGATTTTCATTGCTTCACTTATGATAAGACAGCTGAGAGGAAAGGTTCACAGAAAAATGGCGCGGGTGCTCTTTTAGAAAAGGCCATCAACGTCATCTTTCAGTCAAACTTGTGTCTGACCTTTCTTCCACAACCTTCCACCATCTATAAATTTCTAACTACAAGGATGGTGTTTGAAATGAGTAAACAAAGTTCTAAAAGAACTGTTAAATGGCTAAGGTACCGTACCTCCCGAAATTTTTGGGGTGATCCTGATTCGCTGTGTCATGGTTGTTTCCTTTTGTGTACTGGTTGTCTGGCGACGTTTCCTCCCGTACCCAGGGGCAGTCACTGCCCCACTTCCGCCACTAGCGGTCCCATAGAACTTATTGCAAGATGACTAAAATACCAATATTATTATGCATGGGAGAAATAGAAACTTCATGCCAAAAGGTAAGTCAAAGACACACACCGACACTTTTAGACCATAAACTTGAAAACCTGTGTCTCATTTTCCAAAGATATCCTCGCCGTCTAATGGTGGGTTGTGTTTACTTACGAGGTTGGTACATGTAAGTCTCAGTTCTCACATGCAAGAACAATGATACCATTGCAATGTTCGTAAATAAAGTGAGGAATTATGATTTTGGCGGCTTTTACTTCCGAACAAAATTAAAAATCTTAAATCACTGCTCATACGTGTATGACATACCGATGTACAAGCAGCTGTCGTTTCGCACAGTGTAAGACTGCATTGTATAAACAGATCCGACACGTCATTGAACTGGAACACCTTAAATGCGAACGTGATGTCGTTTCCTGTTTTATCAAAAGGATCGGGGACAATCACGTCTCCTGCATCTGAATCGGCACATCTGAAAGTGGTGTCAAAATAAGTGGAGGATAAGAATGATCCCGGGTGAATGATGTAGTGGTCTTGCATCAGTGCCTTTTTACTCCCCTCTGAGTAAGAATTAAGGATCAGAAACAAACATTATGATGGATTTTCATTAGCCTTTGCATCAAGTCAAAGATCATTAATAAAATATGCAAATTAAAAGGTATTAAACATGTCCAAACCTTTTGCAGGACTAGTAGCATGTGAACTTTAGCAACTCTAACAGGTGCTTTTGTACATCAAAGTTAAATTGTATTACGGTCATGAGGTTATCTAGAATTGATTTATTTCAATATGTGTGAAGTGTTTTTCTGCAAGCGTGTAAACAGAATATGACATCAGGCTACATGATAACTCTAGTTTCATTTTAGAACAATTGAATTATAAACTAAATAATAAACATTTTCAAACATTAACCCATTTTTCTCAGTCATGTGACATTTATGTTTTCATGTACTTCTATTATCTCAGAAATGCCAAATATTTGCGATGATGTCATCGTTCTAGCGTTCATTTGATTTTTGCTTTTGCGAATGTAAGACTATCGATTGATTATTGTAATTGCTAGGGATGTTGGGGGATGATGAATGCGTCTGCATTGGGTCACAATAAAGGATACATAGTCCCTTCAAAAGTGTATCTATCTCTCGGTCATTTCCAGTGTTAGATCCCATTAAATGGAAATCATGAAAAGAGGCTTATTGGTGAACAAAAGACAAAACAAAAGGAAACTATAGATAAAAGAAAAAGAAACTTCCAGAGTATGATAGATGATTGCATTTTTCAGTAATCCCATTCTAACACTTCTAAAATATTAATTGATTGATATACAAATTATAGGTATGACACTTGGGACTTTTCATGATCAATTATATTTTAAATCAGACAATGTCAACGTAACTTTAAGCTGATCAACTATTGCTACTTCCTACAGTTCTAAAAATAATATCGACGGACATCGTACGATGGATTTCTACCCACGGGCCCGCCCATACTTAAATGATTAAAAATGTGCAAAATACACATCCAATGACGAAATACTTGATTTTGAGCTCACCACAAAGTAGCCGTTTGATCTTGATGTTCATTCTCAAGTCTAAACACCTTCATTTAATTGCTATTCTATCATTCAAATCTATTTGCAACAGAAAGATACCTACCCTGATGTAATTAATTTCTTAGAGAGGGGCGTGGTCGAGTAAGTTTCTGCAAATGGCTGATTCTGGAGCGTGCAGTCATCAACTCGAAAGTCAAGATATTCTAAAAACAAGTATGATTGACTAGTAAAGTCATCTTTTCATTTATGCTAAATTCATTTATATAAAATACTCTTGCAGCAAGGATGAGTAAAGTTGACATATATCAGTGGCAGATCAGGACCTAACAAGGGGTGGGGGCAGATTTCAAGTTGTACATAAAACCAAAAATTGGGCCCAAATTTTGAAAAAGTAAGGCCCATTTTTGATAATTTGGCCTAAAAAGGCCCAAAAAGGCCTATTTTTGAGGCCCAAAATATTTTTGGGCCCTAACATTTTTTGGGGCCCTTAAATTTTTCTGGGCCCACCTAGGGGGGGGGGGGGATATGTCCCCGGATCCGCCAGTGAATATGTTAGTCCAAGTGTTTGAATGGTAACAATTGAAAAAATTACAAAAACACAAAAACAGTACAAACTAGTCACAAGGAAATAAATGTCTTGCATTTAATTTACCGAATGTGTAATATCCTCTCCCCAGCTATTCAACCATCATCACATCAAAAAACACAAGACAATTGGGCATGTCATTCATAATGAACAGAAGCATTAACAAGACATGTTGAACAAGAATTCAAGATGGAGATAAAAGATCGAAAGCCGCCAATGCGCCATTCTTAGAGGTTTGCGTGAAAACAACAAAAATTGGCTCGACCAAAGGAATGAATGTAGCGTCACAATTATAGAATGACAGGCGTATCCAGCTGCACAAGTTTGTATAAGTTTGAGCCGTATGTCGGATGTATGAGTCAGTGAATACAATTTGTTAATGTCAATATGACATGACAAATGATACAGGGTGTAAAAAAAAACGCAACCCAAAGAAATCGCTATACCTTGGAAAATACTAATCCAATTATGTTCATATTTTCAGGAAAGAAAGAAGAGACTGTGTATGTATAGCCACTGTTGTTAGTTAGTTGTAAAACATGATGTCTTAGACACTTGCTCAAAAGACAGTTGTACTAGCAAAATACGAAAAACATGAATGGAAAATCACTATATCTTGGAAAATACTAATTCAATTATGTTCATTTTTTCAGGAAAAGAAAGAAGAGACAGTGTATGTATAGCTCCTGTTGTCAGTAAGTTGTAAAACATGATGCCTTGGACACCTGCTCAAATGACAGTTGTACTAGGAAAATATAAAAACGCAGTCAGAGGTGACTGCCACAGCAATAAAACCAAATAACTTTCTTACCATGGTGTTTTGGCACTTCAGATTTGACACAAATTATCCTCATTCAATGTGTGGTGAATTCGTTGAGTATCATCAAAATCACTCCAGGGACTTTACAGTCATGGTCAAAATGCCTTCTTAAGTCTCCCCGTACCAGGGCGTTTGGCTGCGATTTGAATGCATTTCAACCATGACTGTAAAGTCCCTGAAGTGATTTTGATTTCACTCTACAGATTTACCATACAGTTAATGAAGATGATTTGTGCCAAATTTGAAGAGCCAAAACACTAAAGTTTGGATGTTATTTAATTTTTTTGCGGTTGCAGTCACCCCTGACTGCGATTTTCGTATTTTCCTAGTACTACTGTCTTTTGAGCAGGTGTCCAAGGCATCATGTTTTACAACTAACCATTTACAGGAGCTATACATACACAGTCTCTTCTTTCTTTCCTGAAAATATGAACATAATTGAACCAGTATTTTTCAAGATATAGCGATTTCTTTGGGTTGCGTTTTTTTTAACACCCTGTATTAAGTATACATATGGTTAATAATTATTATGACTACTAGTACTAGGAACCTCCCTCCAAAGGAATGCCTACAATATGTAATCAAAACCTTATGTACACAGCATTTTTGTTCAAAGCAAGTTTTTCAAGTTGCAATTTTACAGAAAAGAAGGTGTGTAGCAATTGATGTTGCTGGTTTTTGGTTATGTTTTGGAGGTCCTCAAGATCTATAGTTTGTAAGTTTTTCTTCGTTTGTTGTTTGATTTTTTCACAAATTTATGACATTTTGTTATATTATTGTACATTGTATCAATGCAAGGCTCTGCTTCTGAGAAATCGAAAAATATACAATACAATATTATATTAATCAAAATTTAGCAGGATATTTAATGAAAAATAAAAATTGTAACTAGAATGAAAGAAAGAAGCTAAGGAGGATTTGTAGCTCCACATACCCTTCACGTTAAATACATTTTAAGCTCTATAGTGTAGCAATAAAATCCCAATCTTAAGGAATTTTATCAAAAAGTGCAACTAAACTACCATATGGATTTATTTGGACGACCAGCAAATTCAGTGCCTTGTTGTAAAGGTCAGATTTTGCTGCATGCAAATGGTTTGAAATTGCTAAAGGCTCGGTTTTTAGAGCAATGCAATTTTTTAGTTTACGAAAAACCTATATATACTTCGGAAAATATTTATTCTTGCTTGTAAAGCTGATTTTTTTCTGAGTCCCAATATCAACTGACTAATGTTAAATGAATCTCTTTAGTGGGACACTTTCAAAGTCACAGTTTGAGTGTATAATTATAACGTGAGTAATATGTATATTTTGGCCACCTCCATGTACCATACTAGTACTACCTTTCCGAAAAGGTAAGACTTTGATACGAGTTTGTACAATGAATAAACCTCAACAAACCATTCCCTATTGGGGCATTATTTACAAATATTCAACCTTTTACCGAGAGCTCTTTGGTCATCATCCCAGATTCACGCGGTACAAACTTCGACCGTTAATTTGAATTTTTGACCTACCAGATGCTCGAAAATCAAGGATTGCGAGTCTCATACTACACCGTTTTTCTTCAAACGTATACCATTAAAAGCAAAACAAAATTGCCTTTCTGTCGGTGCATTACTTTATTGTAAAGAGTCCCTCGTTCTAGCAGCGTTTTGGTCCCCAGCTGTTAGAAGGCCTTCTTACAGCTGGGGACCAAAATGCCGCTGGAAGTAGGGACTCTGTTTAAGAGAATAATGTACCAACAGAAAGGGATTTTTGTTATGCTTTGAATGGAACAAGTTTGAAGAAAAACGGTGCAGTACGAGACTCGTAATCCTTGATTTTCAAACATCCGGTAGGTCAAAAATTCAAATTAACGGTCGAAGTTTGTACCGCGTGAGATTGTATTAATTAAAATACAACCGGATATAAATTGATGAACGATATAATTGAAATACAGCCTAATTAGGAAAACAATTAGTTCATTCAATCTAATTTGATATAAAAAAAATTCCATTCGGATAGGAATTTTTATGTCAATACCCGACTACTTGTCAGCCCTTGAGTAGGCATTAATGACACTTGTTACTGTATATACTAAAATACATTTATAAATAACATATTCAATCAAAAACGTGACACCATCTGATTTTGAGTACACCGACAATCATATCGTTACATCGAGTAAAGTCCTAGGGTCATGATAAAAAGCAATGAATACTTCACAATACCAGTATGATATGCATCTGATCTATTGTTAGAACGAATTGAACTATTAAACCTACTATATATGGTAGTATTAAGTAGCTAAATGCTGGTCGTGACTCACCTCCATTGTGGTATTTACGATATACCATATGCATGGATTTTACATTATGTAGTTCTGAACGGGGAATCCCCTGGATGAAATAATGCCGAAAACCATGACTCACACTCTGGGACCGTCTGACGCTTACGTGCATTTTCTCTTTTATTTCACCTTGCCTAGTTACTTTAGTTGTTTATAGTCTAAACTAGTGATATACAAAAGATAACATGCAAACAAAGTTTACATTGAATGGGTCATTATAATTATATGTAATCATAAATTACTAGCCAGGAAAATCTAATGAAATATCATGACTCATACGGTTTTTCCATATTAGAAAGTTTTTCCAGAAAATTCTTTATAAATAGCATTGATCACTACACAAAGCATTTAAAATCATTCTCAAGACCGCACGAAGACCGTTAAACACTGCAGCATTTGGTAGGTACATGTACGTATGCAGGGCTTTATTATCAATGCTTCATAGAGCATACATGTACTCCATCAGTATTTATCACTTACACAGAGACAGCTTATTGAAATTAATTACTAGTATATGCTATACTTGTATATTGTAAATGTAATGATTATTAATATAGTTAATATATTGACACAAAGTTTGGTAACAGTCACGGGTTTATCTTCGCCATATCATGTGACTATATAGTGTATGATTAAATCAGTGGTAAATATAGCAGGCATTCACCTTGTACTTGTAAGTGGGTGGTGTTTAAACTGCAATCTTTTGAATATCAGCTGCAAGTTTGAACTTGTCATTGAAAAACTATAAGTAACATTATTAATGGAACACTCGAAATATATTAATAAAAAGAAAGTAAATCTACAGAGATATAAAAGGTGTAACACAATTTATATTTTCAGTGCTTGATAAATGCCTACGATGCCTACCCAGTTGATAGACGCGACGAACGCAAATGGGTTGATCCCAACAGTCGTCGAAAGTATGCTGGTTGACTCAAGTTCAGAAGGTGCTAATGTTAAGCAAACTCGTGACATTAGTGACAGAATGGATGCTGCTATATGGAGAGAAAGTGAACATGAATCGTGGCCCAAACAATTCACCAAAGTGGACAATCAATCAAGCAATAACAGGTATTCCATTGAAGATAATCAACCGTTAACGTTTATAAATGAACAGGATTATTATGAAGAAGAGCCGGATATATGCCTTGCTGACATCGAAGAGGAATACATGAATTTTGACTTGCAGACAGCTGAGGAAAGTGATATAGATGACGTCCAATTCCAAATTGATACATGGGCTCCTGTATCCCCACCCTCATCACATGTAGAGACAACAGAAAGTAGTAACGAGATCAAACATTTCAACAGTATACTCCAAAGCAGACCTAGTCAAATTGATGCTCAAATTGAGGACGACCTTGAAACAGCTAGGTTCGTATTTACTACAACACTGGATAAACGACGGGCTCTTAAAAGACGCAAGGGTGGTACTGAGGACCTTAGAAAAGTAATATTCATCGAGAATATGTTAAATAAATCAAGAGATGAATATCTTAAAGTTTTGGACCTGATTGAAACTCCAACCGACGGAGACTATGACAATTCTGACGACACGGATGACGAAGCGGAGCAGGAAAATAATACAAGTGACATTGTTAAGATTTTAGATGAACCGACGATGCATTCTATTGTTAATGACATTGACAGTCAAGAAAGTACAAATCTAGAGAAAGAAGTATTTGAAGACGAGGATGTCTTTAATTTACACACGAATAGCGACGAGGCGATTACTAGTATAAACCAGGAAGTTTCAAAGAATCGTGACATAACGCAAATAACTTCTGTGATATCTCAAGGACACAATGAACCTCAAAACGACACGTTTGATTCCAGCATTAATCAATTTAAGACAAACGACAGCATTATCGCAAATAAAATGCTCAAACGAAAATCATCATTAGAAACGTCCTCAGAAACGTCTAGTCTTAAATGCTATATTGTTGTGGACGAATTGGCATCGGAAGCTAAAGAAGATAGAGAGGATTCCCATAGCAGCTTTGAAAATGACGATGATAGCGGTAAAAAAGACAATACGATACTTATGGGAAGTGATCGGTATTGTACAGAAAAACTTTCAGACATTGAGGTATACAACAATAAGTACATGACTGTTACTAAAGGAAATATTATGCGTCAAAATGGACCGTCTCACAAAAGTATACATAAATGGAGGCTTAAACAATTCTTTCGTCCTTTCAAATCATTTTTTATTTTTGTAATAGTGCCTTTGTTTCATCAATAGCAAGAAAGATGACGCATTATTAACATTACACAAGTAACAACCTACAGTCCCCTCTAGAGGTTTGCTCTCCTAAATTCCAATGGGTTATAAATGTGAAAGCTGTTTTTCTCTTCTTGATTTCAAAAAGTCGTATTTTGACACATGGTAATTTATTTTGAAAATCACCATATGCAAACATACTTCTTTGGTACATGTTCAAATATGGGAATTGATGTTGCCAAACTTTTGGAGGGAATTGTAACGTGTTTGATATATAACGCCAAGTTGTAATAAATGTCAGTTAACAATATGACTTGTGATAGTGCCAAAATAAAAAGGTAATAAACATGTATTAAAAGGATTGTATGTGAAGTGTTTGATTATTAATTAGAAGGTACGGGGATAAAAATATCTTCTTTATCGCACATGGTTCTTAATTAATATCAATGATTAAACACAATGTCAGCGTCATTTTCGTAACTTTAAAAAGTATGAAAAGTAATTAAAACCAAGGTGCCATCTGAAAGAACAATCAAATTAATCTGATAAATGACTTTGATGTAGTCTAAATGACAATGGTGTACGATATAATAAAAATAAGAACAACGGTGGAATGCGATGATCAATACAAACAATTAATTAATTTTGATCCGTGTGGAATAAAATAAGATACTTAATGGCTGAGCATAAACCAGTTTTAAATGCTTACAACTCAAAAGGTTTCATAGATATGACCAATGGTCACAAAAGACTGGGTTCTCAAAGTATTTTTCCAAGCACGTCGCTGTTGTTAAAAATCCCCATTCAAATGTACAATGTAATAAATGGAATCTCGCGCTATTCGATTTTTTTTATGACGGCGTAATTGTAGCCCTAGATTAGTACAGCCTCCCTGAAACATCTTTTAAAGCCATACTTGTATTAGCAGTCATGCTGAACTTCAGTTTTACTACAGCTCCAACCGCTTGGGGTTCGTCAAGTATCACATCAGAGGCATTCAACAGGTTGAATGTAATTGGGTTGAACCACTGCTGGAAACCTCCTCCACTCGGAAGATTGCTGAAATACATGATCAGTATGCATATGATTAATTTAGATTGACCTTTCAAGAACTATAGACAAATTTTCGTTTCGCCAGATTTGACTCAAACAAACCGGGGATCTACAGGGTGTCCAAAAAACCAGAACCGAGAAAAGTTGAATAACTCGGTCAATTTTGCATATTCTGCCTTGAAATTTCAAAATTATTTTCATTCCATGTGAACTTTGTTTTGAAAGTTTGATGATAATGTGCCTCTTGAGTCAAAATTACAGTTCTTTACAAAACATGCTCCAAGTGGGCACCTCTCCTCTCTAAGCACAATTGAATCCGGCCAAAGTTCCATCAAAGTCCGGACTGAAGACCGGTTTTGCCTTGCCTTGATTATTTTGGCTTTGCTATACCCCTGCAATAAGAAACAGTTGGTAGTTAATCTCACCTCACTGGGTTAAAGTTGACGTCAATGCTAGATAGAACGGAGCCATCTTGCTTGTAAACACATTGCACCTGGTAGGTCTCATCAAACTGTGTCTGATACAGGGGATTATATTGGATGTGAACATCGGCTTCGTACGTGGTGTCCCCGGCCTGAAATAACTTGGTTCATTACTGCTATTGACGACATTTCGATTCAACTTATGCTTTTACGTAACCTTCATGCGCTAGTTATTAAGAGTACATGGGATTGACAATGGCTATATATCTCGAGGGGCAAAGCCCTATTACATGACGCAGATCCGGGGCTACATGGGGACGTGCCGTTAAAGTGGGTCACCTTTCCACCGAAATATCCCTAGGGTCCCGTTTTGAAGAAAAAATAGATATGGGTCCCATTTTGATGAAAAAATCCCTAGAACAGGGTCTACTTTAAAACTGGGTATTGTTTTTGAAAATATCGCCGGAAGTGGGTCTAAAGTGGGTATAAAAATTTCCTTGAAATTTTGTCTGTTTTTGAAAGAAAAACCCTAGATGTGGATCCATTTTAGAGAAAAAAATCCCAAAATGTGGGGAGACATTTTGAATCTCAGCGGCACCGTACCTCCTGTAGAAAAATGTTTGAGGCGCTGAAAACGTTTCCTACTTACACTGGGTGTGTTAGCTAGAGTCCACGCTGGGTTGAAACAATTAGCATCTCCTAGCGTTAATGGTAACGTCGCCTTTCCCTCTTTACCAACAGGGGTGTTCGCAATGTCGAATGCGCACGCAGGTGTATTGAATCCATTGATGTAGATATCTCCTTTGAAATCACCCAAGACGCCGGAGGGGGTATAAGGATTGACCATAATCTGCATAGTGGTAGCTTCACATTTTGCTTCAACTGCGCCAAAAAAAGTTAAATTGGTAGTACTATTCAAAAGTCGTATGAGGAGCAAGTATAAAATTCATCAAGAACATCATAGCAACAGTTGCTTCATATCTTCCAAAGTGTTAAAACAAATGATACTTTTAATACAACTTCATACTATTTCATATTTTAATCAACTTATGTACAATTTTGATTTCAACCTCTTGCTTGTGAACAATCGTCGTCATAGTAACCGTAGTCACAGTAACACTTGTTGCCGGACCCATCGTTTGCGCACGCCAGAGTACCCTTGCTATCACACGTCGGTGTACAATCAGTTAACGCCACTGCTTTTGACACTGTAATAGAAGAATATGGAATATGCTCTATTCTCATACTGAATCTAAAAATTTAAATTTACGAACATTTAATGTACATGTACATCCTAAAAGTCCAACACGTCACATCGGGTAACAAGTTATCCTCATCAACATGTAATTCATTTCATGATTTATCTTACCTGTCTGAACAGCACAGTTAAAACCCTCGTAGCCTTGGTTACATGTACATGTACCGGAAGTGATGTCACACGTTCCCCCAGTCACGTCACAACCAGACCCAGCTCGTTTACAAACGTACGTTATTCCTGTTATTCAATAAAAACGTAGAAATTGTTGGGAAATTTACTCCGTTTTCTATGATTAAAGGACTTCAGGAGCGTAGTCCGAATAAATAACTAAATGGGCATTTGCGAATACGTTTAGTGAAAAAACGCCTGAATGAATGATTTCATATCTGGGACTACTACTCCACCAAAAGTAGTACAAAAGTGACTCTGTACTTTATGGCTACATTTAAATAATAAAAGACATTATACCATAGAAATGGGTGTACCAGTGCAAATGTATTTTCTACCATACAACATTGTCTGAAGAGCAGATTAACCTCTGTATTTTTTATCTTTAAAAATGATTATTAAAGGGTTATCACTGCATCAAATGTGGAATTCCTAGTAATTTCTAGACGTGCTTAGTCGGTCTAGGAACTCCGTGTATCTAGAGATTTCTAGGCGTGCTTAGACGTGCTTAGAGCTGGCGTGGACAGAGCGTGACGAGTCTAGAAATCTCTAAGCACGCCGTGGTTAGACACAAGACAAAATTAGTTGTTATTAAATTGCCATGTGAGATTTTGCGCTATATATGGAAACATTTAAATTATAATTTACCGCACGTGTTAATATTTCATGTTTTGCTTTAGCTAAATACGGGATATCAAATCAAAAAGAGTATGTTTTCACTTTATATCCGACTTGAGTCACGAAAAGTACATCGCAACATGGCTTCTTAATTGTTAACTTGTCATAAATTAAGAAGGTCTGTTTAAATGGGTATTTCCACTAATCAACACCCATTATTTCGCATTGACAAGTACCAGGGCCGAATCCAGCATTTGCTAAGGGGATGACTTTTGAATTATTCCAGGGGTGAGGTCACATTTGATATTTGCTCAAAAATTACACGAAAACTGCTCAAAATGGTGAAAGAATTATTGGCCAGGGGATACAGTATTATTTTAAACTAGACATCTCTGTCGGCGAGGGGGGGCTAACTTATTCCAGGGGTGGGGTCACATTTGATATTTGTTCAAAATCACACGAAAACTGCTCAAAATGGTGAAAGAATAATTGGCCGGTGGATGCAGTATTATTTTAAACAATACATTACTGTCGGCGAAGGGGAGGGGGGCTAACATATAGTTGAAATTACAGAATACGCTACCTTAATTTTTGATAATCTGTAAAAATAATATTGTCATAAACAACTACTGATTTATATATGTGAACGGATATTTGTAAATTTGGTTTAAAAAGAAACTGAATATAGGGTAAAAATGAGGGAGACACAGACGTCGGAAGAGTGGGGATAAAATCTAATCAACACTAAGCTGAGACAGAATGAGATCATATGTCTGGACTGAAGATTTTCATAAACATATTTGTTGATTGCTCGCGAAAACAAAAACAAATTTCAGGGTTCATTGGCATCACACAATATTTGCAAAATGGGGGAGTGCATTTTCCCAGGAGATTTAAAACAATGCTTTACTTTTTAAATGTCGCCCCTCATACTAGCATACGCTTCAACTATCAGATTCAGGAGCACCCTGCCCTTGATATATTAATACATAGTTTTCTTGTACCCCTTTTCAAAAATACAATGAACTAAATACATAGTATTAGTAATAATGATCTTGGAATTGATTTCTTTGATCTGTAATCTAGATCACACAATAACTAATTAACTGTTTGATTGCGTTTTTGCTTCTTCAAAGACGAGATATCCCTAAATTACCTTGATTACAGCATGGGCTTTCAAGAGAGTCAATGATTGCAGTCTACATGGTCTAGGCTATTTTTAATTCCTCGTTATTTTAGTTGTGTATCTCTGAATCCCGGCTCTGATTATCATATACAATTTTCTTTAACCAATTTTACCCGTTTTTTGAACTTCAAAACTGTCACATACATATTGGTGGTCCCTAATCATATTAGGACCAATAACAAACAACATAATTAAAACTGGAAAACATACAATACATATTCATCATCTCATCTATTTCTCCGGTTGTTATCTCCGGTAATCTTTATGCCTTGAGCCACCTCCCCCCCCCCTTACAGATACTTTAGATACACTTATTTTCACGCTACTTAATTTGACGAATTTGCTCAATTTCAAATATTGGCGGCTATTTAATTTGGCGGAATCAGGACTGAAGTTTAATCTTTGTCTATGTTTATGCATGGGCTATCAAACGATTCTCTTGAAAGCCCATGGTTTATGTCATTAGGACGGGTATTTACTAAGATATTTTTGGTATTTCTTTTGGGATAATGTATGACATGTTGATGACATGCTCAGTTGACAGGAAAGGGGGCCCCAGAAGTTTAATTTCTGAAGTGCATTTGACAAAAATTCCAAACTGAAATTTGAAGGATTTTAATTTGGCGGATTTTCTGACTCCGTCAATCCGTCTATTTAAAAGTAAGTATCTTCATTGGAGCTTTTTAAGACCACATTAAGCCCGTACTTTAACTAACATCCTAACCAATGTTAAAGCCAAGCTTTTCCAGGATATCTTCAATCAATCCTCAACCCCTGTTAAAGCCCTTATATTTGCCTGGTACATACATACCCCCCCCCCCCCGGGCATACCCCCCCCTCCCTCTCAAGCCGTACTTTTGCTGTTCCCCACAGCTGAATTCATTTGTGAACTATTATTTTGCTATAATGAATCCTGGTGGATGTGATATCTGTAAAATATACAAAATGTACATTATATATGCAGTCTGGGGTGTGAGGGGGTTCATTTTTAAAAAAACAATTTCGGGGGTCTCACTTTTGACAATCAGATACAAAGGTCTCGAATTTGTTAAACAAAGCATGGAATGCCGATGAACCAATTATGAATATTATCAAATGAAAACAAAATATTAATTCCTTATAATCCAAATACTTCCTTGTTTTCATAACAGCTGAACCACCTTGATTACAGAAGATATACCATGGAGTAGTCTAGAAATAGTTTTTCAAGCTTAGGACCTATAGCCATTTATCATGTGGGTGGACACTATTTATTTGCAAAGATATGTTACTGGCCTTTGGGAGGCACACGATGCCTTCTAGCAATTTCAGATTTGTATTGTTTGAACTTCTATTTTGTTTAATGCACACTTCTGATCACCATATCAAATCATTTGAATCATACATAATTTGCACGAGTATTAGGTTCGAATGAATTAAAATGACGTAAGCTAAGTGTAAAATTTTTGAAAAAAGCCTATCAAAAGACGAATTGTTTTTTGAATACTTTGCGGGCAAATCAATATTGATGTACCGTATTGAAGTCATAAACAACAGCTTCGAGATGTCAGCCCGAAGACTATCTCCCGGTTGTAATGTTTATCTAGGAAACTGCTCGTTGTAATCATAATAGGACACACGGCAAAAAATGTGTATCAAAATCCATTGAAACCTGCTTACAGGTAATACATTTGTATTATCAAAAATACAATCTCGTTCTTACCATCGTGAATCCTGAACATTCCAAAAAGGGCATATTTTTTTTAATTAAAAAAAGTAAAATAATATGTCAAATTACAAAATTTTAGAAATGCTGTGGATAATAGGTCATTACAACCTAACAAAAGCATACCTGTCAACTAAAAATGATTAAAATGGGGATATTTTTATTTTAAAGTCAGGAGAAATCTGGATAATTTGAAAGAAAATCAGTGTGAAAATCTGGATTTATTTTGGATAATTGGGAGAAAACCTGGATTTCTACAAATACATCGGGAGAAAATCGGGATAACTAAAAATGAATTGGGAGAAAAATTGAAGTTAGAAATACTAAATCAATAAATCTGTTTCAATTTATGCTTAGAACACTATATATGAGTTACATTACATTTTACAAGTGCCGCCTTGTGGTTTGAGAATGCTGCCTTGTAGTTTGAGAATGCTGCCTTGTGGTTATACAACTCTGCCTTGAGGTTTCAATTCATGCTTAGAACACTATATATGAGTTACATTATAGTTTGCAAGTGCTGCCTTGTGGTTTGAGAATGCTGCCTATTTATACTAAGTTATACTACTCTGCCTTGAGGTTTCAATTTATGCTTAGAACACTATATATGAGTTACATTACAGTTTGCAAGTGCCGCCTTGTGGTTTGAGAATGCTGCCTTGTAGTTTGAGAATGCTGCCTTGTAGTTTCAGAATGCTGCCTTGAGGTTTCAATTCATGCTAAGAACACTATATATGCGTTACATTATAGTTTGCAAGTGCCGCCTTGTGGTTTGAGAATGCTGCCTTGTAGTTTGAGAATGCTGCCTTATGGTTATACAACTCTGCCTTGAGGTTTCAATTTATGCTTAGAACACTATATATGAGTTACATTATAGTTTGCAAGTGCCACCTTGTGGTTATACTACTCTGCCCCGAGGTTTCAATTTATGCTACTATATATGAGTTACATTATAGTTTGCAAGTGCTGCCTTGTGGTTTGAGAATGCTGCCTTGTAGTTTGAGAATGCTGCCTTGTAGTTTGAGAATGCTGCCTTGAGGTTTCAATTCATTCTTAGAACACTATATATGAGTTACATTATAGTTTGCAAGTGCTGCCTTGTGGTTTGAGAATGCTGCCATGTAGTTTGAGAATGCTGCCTTGTAGTTTGAGAATGCTGCCTTGGGTTATACAACTCTGCCTTGAGGTTTCAATTTATGCTTAGAACACTATATATGAGTTACATTATAGTTTGAAAATGCCGCCTTGTGGTTTGAAAATGCTGCCATGTAGTTTGAGAATGCTGCCTTGTAGTTTGAGAATGCTGCCTTGTGGTTATACAACTCTGCCTTGAGGTTTCAATTTATGCTTAGAACACTCTATATGAGTTACATTATAGTTTGCAAGTGCCGCCTTGTGGTTTGAGAATACTGCCTTGTAGTTTGAGAATGCTGCCTTGTAGTTTGAGAATGCTGCCTTGCGGTTATACTACTCTGCCTTGTAGTTTTAATTATGCTTGGAACACTATATATGAGTTATATTATAGTTTGCAAGTGCCGCCTTGTGGTTTGAGAATGCTGC